CATATCCATTTGTTTAAAATGTTTCACATACCAAGATGAAGTGGACATAATTTTTATTAAAATGCTTAGGGAAAATATGCTTAAGTGTTATTGATATAAACTTCAATGCCTCCAGCTTTAATATTGAATATGCACCAATGCCTTGAGAACTTGTACAAATCAGATGTTAATCATGCCCCATGAATCTAAATTCGCCCACACCCAAGAGAGTTCTTCAGTAATATATTCCTGTAAAGGACTTGTGTCTGTCACTCATTCCAAAACTAAATAACATATTACAACTTAACTTCGTATTGAAAGAGACATCTTTATGAATTCAACCTATCTTACATTTTTTTTTGGTCAAGGTCAACAGGCCACATAGTAAATGTGCATAGACATAGGGACTTCATTCTATCTGTTTACGTGCATCTTCACATATACTCATATTCCTCTTTGTTAAACTGAGAGAACTGACTTCCATAACTTTATATGTCACTTTTATTTTGATGTTCGCTGAAGTCTCTTCAGCTATCAGAACTGTCATTTTTACATTTAAACACACCCCTGGAAAAAAATTACAAAGTGAGTCGCTACTAGCTTTTCTAAAAGCTAACCTTGTTTATGTTTATGTTAGATTATTTTTTTGGTTTAAACATATGTATTCCCAAAAGTATATATAATGTACATACAAATAAGCATCAAACAAAATATTTCTACAAAATGGAAAAGGATGAGAACGAAAGACGAGTCTTACAGAATTGTTCTTCTGAGGCGAGCTCTTATTGAGAAAATGCAGACAGCTGACAGTTCTGAAGGACCATCTGTGCAAACTATATGTTTTTTCTTAAATAAATTAATAGTTAGAATATACTAGACAAGGGAATAAGTAGTATTACTTTGTTGTTGTTGTTGTTGTTGTTTTTTAAGAAGGGAAAAGATGATTGCCATTAAAATTGCGAGTTATTGCAATTGTTTTACTGGAATTGCAAAATTGCAGAATGCTAAACGTTGTATTAATTGGTATTGATGATTAACATATACGAGTTTTATTTAACGATTATTCTCATAAAAACATTTTTAGAAATGTACGACCATAACAATTTTTTTTAGAAATGTACGACCATAACAATTTTTTTTAGAAATGTACGACCATAACAATTTTTTTAGAAATGTACGACCATAACATTTTTTTTAGAAATGTACGACCATAACAATTTTTTTAGAAATGTACGATCATAACAATTTTTTTTAGAAATGTACGATCATAACAATTTTTTTTAGAAATGTACGACCATAACAATTTTTTTTTAGAAATGTACGACCATAACAATTTTTTTAGAAATGTACGACCATAACAATTTTTTTTAGAAATATACGACCATAACATTTTTTTTTAGAAATGTACGACCATAACAATTTTTTTAGAAATGTACGACCATAACAAATTTTTTTTCAAATGTACGACCATAACGACATTTAAAAAATGGACGACCATTACGACTTTTCTTAGAAATGTACGATCATAACACCTAATTGTAGAAAAGTACGACCATAACTATATCTTTGTTTTTTTTAAAAAAAACGACTATTCTAAGAAATGTACGACCATAACGTTTACCGTCTATTCTTAGAAATGTACGATCATAACAATATTTCTATAAACATGTAAGACCATTACGACTATTTTAGAAATATAAAACCATAACAACATTTTTTGTTTGAGAAATTTGTGAAAATATCCATAATGTATAACGCTGTACATAAATAAATCATGTGCCTGAAAAAGAAACTATTGCAAATCACGATTCGAATAAAAATGACAACTGGATAATAAAGTTGACCCGACTCCAAAGCATATTGCTGCCTACATGTATTTTAAGGAAATTGTATCGATTGTTTTATGTTCCGTCCTCAACATTACCGTTTCCCCCTTCTGTTGTTTTATTGTGTTTTAAGTATAATAATGATTACCGTAGATGCTTATACTAACACAAATGGTACTATATGACAAAAACGTTTTTTTCCCTGTCACTTCAATATGAGTTATGTGAAGGTATAGATTTCATAACCTCGCATAACCTCACATAACCTTAAGTTAACCTACATCCGGGATGACTTGCACATTTTGAAAATGCCAAATGGCATAGACCTTTTTATTTCATAGACTATTGTAGACAGGATAGCTACACGTGACCGGACAGTCTTTCAAAGAACGGGTTGAAAATCGTATTATCGTTTATGACACTTTTAAGACCTGCCACAAGGATTTTTATTCTGATTATATAGATAAGCGGTTCTTGTGGTGTTATTTTCATCCTTGGTTAGCTTCAGTTTTTGGGTATGTTAAAAATGAAGTTCCGGACAATAGTTAGATATTTATATATGCATGTATTTTGCAAATCAAACAAACATTAAAGTACTATATAGGTATATCATCAATGGCATCCGAATTATTTGGATATCGTCCCTTGCTTAAATGATTAAATGAAGACACTGGCAAAATTTTCATCTCTTCGTTTTGAATTTTTCATTCATAATTCTGTAAATATCCTCAAAATGAATAAACAGGGCAGTCATAGGAACAAAACTTTTCTCCTGATCAGAATAAAATGGTGGTTTCCTACAGTGAACTCTGGAAACGTTAGAGACGATACCAAATGAATGACTTAGACTTGTTTCAATCATACAATATCCGCAATATCTGTTATTTTACCCTTCAGGATTTGTTCAAATCACATGACTTGTTTTAAAATTCTGTCGGCGTCTAAATTTCGTTCAACATATATAGATATATTTACGCTTCAAACCCAAAATACATAGAATTTTTACAAATTCATACTGGGACTTAAAAAAATGTCATTTTAGGGATGGTTTGAGTACATAAAATCATTTTAACATTAATTTCATTCATTTGCCTGAGTATAACTTTAATTATAGCAATGGAGCCTTGAGTAATTTTCACAAAATTGCAGAATCATTAGTTTCGTTTATACTAATTTATTTTAGTTCGATTATGTTGGAAGCTATGCGTTTATTGAAGCATTCTCGAATCCGTTCCTGGAACCAACCAGTACGAAGCAATGAGTGTAAAGTTTCGTGCTTACGGAAACAACGATCAGCCACAACTTTCTTAAATTAATTTATTTTCTTCACCATCCACCTCCCCTTTACCCCCACCTTTCGCAAAAAAACAAAAAAACTGTTTAAGCGATCACTCCTATTTTATATGATTAATTATGTTCATAATGTTCAAAAACGTTTGATTACTTTTAGCAATTACAGATACGGATCTATCATTATAACTTTGATTGTTTGAATGACATAATTATGATGACTAATTTACTTATTGTAAAATATATTTATTTAGGTGAGTAGGTATAGGTAGGTAGATAGGCAGGCTGGGAGGCTGGAAGGGAGGCAGGCAGGCAGGCAGGCAGGCAGGTGATTGGAATGATTTACAACTTATGCAAGATTTGTTGCAGTTGATGCCCTTACAATTTTGTTTCTTGATCAAAATCTTTTAAAACTTGTTCCTTGCATTTGTGTTTTGTATTTCTATATTTAGAAAAATTTCGACAATTTTTTTCACATACAAATTTTTAGCTCTTTCGCTCAGACTGAAATAGTCCTATTTTGGTCAATGTGTTTTATTTACAAGCATTTACGCCTGTCACTGGACAATCCCCGATATTTATTTGTTTGTCTTGGTTACTTGTCATTTACACGCTTAACATCGTGACAATGAGCATAAAATGGCAATTTGTTGTTATTGACTGTAAACAACCAAAGCGTGTATGCTCGTTTTAACTCGATGAGTCACATACAGTGCAGGTGGATTCTTGGTAATTAATGCCTAATTTATTGTTAAAAATACGTCGCATGTCAATTTATTTAGAAAATACATATTGGTCATTTATTTTTGCCGAAGTACAAAGTGAAATGGCGATTATAAGATATATGGATGACTTTTGTTTTTATTATTACAGTTTAATTATAATATATTTCATTGCTAATGTATATATGAAAATATATAAAGAAACAGCAGGTTTTCGAAATAATGAATTATAAAATTGTTATCTTACAACAAAAGCGAACGACCGACCTCCTCTTTCCTGGCCCCATCCCTTCATCCCATGTTTTTATGTTGTTCTGTCTTAAATACTCTTACATCACATCGTGCAAGTCACCATTCGTATAATAATGTAAAATTGAACTGGTATAATGCAGGCAAAAATTGTTCTTGTAAGCTATATCAAATCGTTTAGATATAATAATAATAATAATAATAATAATAATAATGATGATGATGATGATGATGATGGTGATGATGATGATAATATTAATGATAATAATAGTAATTATTATTATCATCATCATCATCATCAAATATTTATTCATGCAAAGTTTACACAAAAAAGAACATGTATACTTATTTACAGTACGGACTTCAGATTTAACAATAACAAAACAAACAAAAAATAACAATTATAAAAAAAAAATACTTGTAGATCTATACAAAATTTGAAATCTTGTTTGTACAAACACAAAATAAAATATATCCTTTAATGTAAAGGTTAGATAATCGTCTGACACTCATATTAATTATAGTAATTATTAAAAAAAATCATGATAATTAAAAATGATATTATTAACATTTTAAAAAGCTTCAATATAAAGTGGTCAATTTTCATTATGTGTCATTTTTTTATAGATAGTTGGCACTTTGGGAAAAAGGTCACATGTGTTGTCATATTACATATTATTACCATGTATTTGAATTATACATGTGTAAATGGGGGTCAAAATAGTCTGAATTTTAAAAAACTAGACAGATTTATAAATGGTCACGCTATTTTTTACGCGTTTTTTCTGTATAATTTGTATGTAATAAGTAGACCCCTATAGCTGTCATTTGATTGACAACTTTATTTATTTGTTAGCTAAAAACAGTGGTTAGATATATGACATTAATTGACCTCTCTATCGAAAACACGCAAATAACGTCATATCTTATTTGTTATTTTTGTTGCCAGGTTGTGGATTGGTCATATAAAAGGGGAAACATGGCTTTACGTGAGTCAGTTTCATGTTAGGATTTCAAGCTTGTCAAGACTTTTGTCTCTAGACAAATAAATCTGTTTTCAAGAATAATTTTTGGCTTTTTTTATAACCAGTATCAGGTATGTATGAACTTCTCGTATTTAATTGCAAAATTGATTTTTTTTTATAAAAAAAGGACTCCACGGAGGTTTTTTGACATGACGAGCCTGGAAATAATTTGTGGAGATAAATATGTTCCATTTGATGTAGGTCTAGACTTATAACTTGTATGCAAAATCTTAGATCATTTACTCACCATGTTTTCCAGAATAATAATTGTAATTGTGAAAAATAGCGTTGCAACGCTTTTTACTCAATCGGACTGAAAAAAATCACAAAAATACGATTTTTATTTTATTTCTGAGTATATTTCTTAATTACCTTTTGCATATATCTTTCTGTTTTAGTGTTCCACATGTAAGAAATTCAAATTATATGTTTTTAAGTTTTTGGATCTCAGTGGAGTTGTTTTAAGAAAATGCTAGTCTTTTTAAACTCATATCGTAGAATTAATTAGCTCTTTGCTATTTAAATTTGACTTTTCTGGCACTAATTTTGAACTTTCTAAAATTATGGATTTATGTAAGAATATACAAGTTGCAATAATTGTTTTTTGTATGTTCATGCTTTTAAAAATAATACTCTTCTGAACACGAAAAGAATCGTTTCTAAAATAAGATTTACCATAAGAATTTTGTACAGTTAAATACATAACATTTAAATAAAATTTGCTATGTTACTTTTAGCCCTTTTCCACACGGACAGTATATTTAAAGTAACGAACGTTTTTTTTTGCAGCGTCATAATTTTACTTTCTCTCTTATTTTGACAAAGGGAAAGAATCAACTATATACAGAGTAACATTAAATATATTTGCCGTTTTTAAAGAGTTGGTGTTTTCTAATTTTGAAAGAAACGGATAAAAATAAACACCTTCCGTTTCGAATATTACATGACTGTTCGTCAAATAACTGTAATATCAACATTTCCTTTGATTTTATAGTAGTAGTAAATATAATATGAAAACAATATTGTTCTTTGAAATGAGTTAAATTAATACATTCAGACATAAAATGATTTGATTTTGACAAAGGTTGACGTCAGTTATATACGTTTTCAGTTAAAATATTGACGTATTGCAGACTTGCAATATTACTTTTTCAGCAGTTTGTTTCTATTTCTTTATGACAAAAGGATACCATTTATTAAGTTGATTTCAGATGATTCTTTTCATTATGTATGAAACTATGAATGAATTTTCCTGATATCTAAAACGACATTTCCGATGTAGAAAACAATATCTTAGAGATTGAATAGATTATGAAAGTAGAAGAGCGTAATCAAAGGGACATATTAAGATATAACTTTCAACATACATGGAGTTGTTGGTCTAACGAGACCAACAGACCCCATACAATATGTTGATTTATTTCCCTTACCCTCTACGTCCAGTAAACCCGTATTTCCGACGTCTGCCCCACACTATTTGCACAGTAGTTATATTTTGGCGCCAAAATGACCAAAATTTGTCCAAATCGCAGTTCTGGGGAATAAAAGGGGCAGAGTAGGCTTTTGTCATAAACAAAAATCAAAGTACCCGGCGGCTATTCCGTGAGGTGTAGGAGGCCACGGTTACAACTGACTTGTGCAGAACAGACTTCTTGAGACTTTGGATAATCCAACTGCATCTTTTATTGAAATGGAAAACTAATCGCATCCATCTTGAAGACAAGAACAATTTTACTCAATACAAGTACAGTCAAACATGTGTTACAGACCTTTTCAGAATAAAATTATTTTCTTTTGCAGAAATATGTTTGGTAAATTTTTGTTTTCATTGTGCCTGTGCATTGCAATTTCGTCAATTGTCGTGAGCAGTTACGTCATCTACCATCACGTGCCATCATACTACATGCCTGCACCGACTTATTACAGACGGGTAGTCTACAATCGAGCACCTGTTGTATATTACGGAGACGGTTATGATTCACCAGACTTCAATTTTAACTCGTAAATAACGGTAAGTGACATAGTTTATCATTATATTATATTAAACAATAATTTATTAGTAGATTAATATCAAAGTGGCGGCGTGGCCGAGTGGTTAACGCGTTGGACTAGTAATCTAAGGATTGCTGACCGCGTGGGTTCAAACCCTGTCAGGGGCAAGCCGTTGTTTCCTTGAGCAAGAAACTTTACATTCATTGCTTAGTACTGGTTGGTTCCAGGAACGGATTCGAGAGTGTTTCAATAAGCTTATAGCTTCCAACACAATCGAACTAAAATAAATTTGTATAAACCAAAATACGGGAGGGGAAATGTCCGCCCTACTAAAATAACGAAAGGGGAAATGTCCGGGTTATGAAAATATATAATATGGAAGGGGAATCGTCCGGGAGATCTTTTTAAAGGGACTCCACACGAAGGTTTCGAGATTTATGCAGATGTACCATTTGATGAAGGTTAACCAATAACTTACACCCAAAATTTCATTCGCTCACTCCATTTGACCTGAAGTATTACAATTATCTCATTTGTGATCCAAAGTGAAAGTCTTTTTAAAAACGATTATAACTCAAATCTGGATAAGAATAGCAAAAAAAAGGGCTTTTGTCCGCCCTGTCATTTTCACGGGAGGGCTTTTGTCCGTTTTTCGTAAAATCTTCACATTATGTGTCTTTAGGCCCTTAGAACTCAGTGGAGTTCCTTTAAAATGCTGTCAACTAGTTTTTTCAATAAATCTTAGATTCTTACTGTAATATAAAATAACTTGTACCAGAAACATATATCTCTGCTAGTACAAACACATGATAGTATAATTTCAGATCAGTCATATATAAAAAAAAATTATGCCACAGAAATGCTTTTATTTCTCAATGCTTTTGTGATTTTGGCGTCCCGTTGCAGTTTCCAAAGAAGAAATCCTAAAACCATTTTTTTGCTCCTGTTGATTTTTGGCAGTTATTACAGTTATATAGTGATTTTGTATTTTGCATGAAAGTCAAAATACAACTATGTTTATATTTTGTTACTTTTATGACAAATAATTTTACATTCAGCGCATTCTCCAGATGATGAGCATCTAACATTCTATAAATCCATTCTTTAAACGTTATAAAACTCATGTTTTCACTTTCCAAAAGAAGGAAAATTTATTCTTTTTTAGGCATAATGTAATAAATAAAATCACTTTAAAGTCACCAAACAAATAGAATATAGTAAAATATTACAAATTAAAAAACAACAACACATTTTCAAAACCCATTACATTTGTAGGGCTTCTGTTCGGTACATAGTTTCTAATGAGTTTGTATTTATTGTTATAGCTTGTTAACTACTTCCTGCATTGTGTTGATATTATAAAATAATTTAAAAGAATTATATATGACTAATGCCATTTATTGCCTAATCAATTATTAAATTCATGTATTATCTACAACTGTAACTTTGTAATAACATACTTTTCTCAATTGTACATTATATCCGCCATACAGTTGTGTATTGGCGATAAACATTGTATATGTTTATGCCAAATAAATATTGAATTGAATTGAATTAATACAATGTCCTAGGGCCTATGTCTCTTTTTAATTGAATTTGATACATTGTTGATATTTGATATGTAGTATTGTATTTGATACATAGTAATGTTTTAATGATGGTTTTGTTCTGTTTTCAGGATTTTGTGAAAATGCTACTGATAACAATGGCCCATCTATAGATAGAAATGTCAACAAAGTTGTCTCTCACGTCATCCGCATCGCCATGTACATTGTTAGAACTTCCACATCCATCCTTTATAATGATTTATAGTACTGTAACCGTTTTAGCAGAATGCCCAGTTTTTGAACAGTTATCATTTGCAACAACATTAGTTCAATTTATGTTGTGTCATATGACCTTGAACTTTAACATTTAAACTTTACTATCCTGTCTCAAATTTTTCCACATATTGAATCAAAAATCGCAATTATTATAATTGACATTGTCTTAAAGGACCTTGTAAGTACTCCAGTTTCAAATTTTCAGGAAAAGGTGTAATTTCCAGAATGTGCAAAAGTTTGCCGAATCATTATAGCAAAGTATGTTGTCTGCATTCTATACATGTATAGTAAATAATGCAAACAAATATAATTTAATTAATTAGTCAAAACTTTGATTTACGTTTTCTAATTCTGAGATTTCTGGCAGCCCTTAGTCGGAGTACGTATAACTTTCATTAAGCGTAGAATAATTTTATATGACTTTTATCATTTTTGTGTATTTCACTAGTGTATTTCAACTATATGTAAATAAATAAATAAAATCAAATTCATTGAACTTGGTTTGTTTTGACAGCTAGTATTCCATTAAATTGTCAAGTAAAAATGAAAGAAAAATAGAAAACTATAAGAACGCCAATGATTGAGAATAAAAATGCTATAGCCTCGGTTTGGGTCTGGTCATATGACTGCGAAGCTGCTGATTTCTATAGATATGTGAATAAGAGCAGAATGAAAATTGAATGGCACAATTACAGGAATTTTGCAGACGACACATTTGTGTCATATATGTTTCGCGATTTTATGCAGGGAGTTGTGAGGATAAGATGTGAATGATTCGACTGTTTCTGCAAGATATGTATAATCACAAGAAATAAGAGTTAAATAATAATAAAAATGTAAAACTTTCATTCATGTAAATTACTTATTCTTGCTTGTTAATTAAATTAAATTCTTACCTCTTAAAGTGAAATCCATTCATGTAAATGACTTATTCTTGCATTCACATTACATGAATACTATGGCAAATTTATATTCTTCTATTCTTTGTTCTAGTTTCTAATTTCTATGTCCCATTTTCTCATATGTTTTTTACGGAATTTTAGATAATAAATAATGTAAACATATCATTTTGTCACACAAATTCCTGAACGGAAAATCCATTAACGCAAAATGTATTAGACATATTTTGTATGGTTCAAATGTAAATGCTGAACTTACATGTATATTTCTTTCGCCATATTTCCTTTTCTTTGTCCTAATTTGCTTATTACTATATATTCCGTCTCGTTGTTCGCATTTTCTAAATAACATCATTTAGAAGTTACATGTATATAACATCACTCAGAACTTATCATAGGAAACATGCCTCCTAAAGGGGGCAATACACACTTTTCAAGGCTTCGTGGCAAATGATTGACTGCGTCACAATCAAAACACACACGTCTGTAATCACACAGTTGAAATAAATGTATTTCATAATTTAAATATACATATGTATCTCAAAGCAAACAATTCAAAATACATGTCCACCTTCTAGTTTTCTGGCACATAGCCCATCGTTTTTCATTGTTTTGGTCGTTAAAATCAACAACAAAAAGAGTTGATTACCCCTATTCGCAAAATAATAAAAATATAATAACGCCCCAAAATTAAATCACGAGCTATAGTGTTTTTTCCTTCTTAAACAATGCACTATCTGAATACAACATCCACACGGGGGCACATGGGATTAGATTTTTCACTATTTTAAATCTTCTGCACACCCTTTAATTAAAGATTTGCGAGCTAGCTTTATGATACATTCGAATCTAACAGGTACTCCTCAAAATGTATGGGTCAAACACCACTAAAAACAATTTTACAAACACAATACTAGCCACTGAAATTTGAAATATAGCACTTTTAAATATTAAGAAGCTCAAATATCCACTTCAATTACTAAATGGTCTATTATTTGAAAATTTGAACCAGGCCAATTCGAAACTAAACGACCGAAACTGTGTACTGCCTTCTAAACATTTAAAAGTTAGAATTTGGAAGGGTACCAATAATACTGGTATCCAGCTACATAGAAATTACAACTTAGAAGGAACCAGAAATACCGGTTCGCGCACTTCAATCGTGACTATCGCACGATGTTTTTCCATGTGTTTCCCAGTGCTATAAATAGCAGCTTGGTTCTTACCCGGAGGACAACTTCGTCAATTTCGTAGCAAGTATGTATACAAGAAAAGCATTGATGCAAAGCATTAAAGGGTGTCCAAGCAAGAAATGCAGCAAGTGAAGTGAAGATGAACTAAAGACATCTGATGACCAGATATTCTTATATAAACTATATATAAACTTTTCAATGGTAAATTATTTTTTACCAGAATTGTATATCATTTGAATGGGCGGACGAAAGTCATTGTTCATCATGAACTTTGGTAGTCATGCTAGAGATTAGAATATTAAATGTCTTTTCCACAGGAACTTAAAATTCAATCAATATTAAAGATAATATCCAAAATATACACGTCTATAATATCCAAACTGTACCCCCCTATATGGTATAAGTTTATTAATTCTATATAGGGGGTATTGTTGGATATTATCATTCATATTGGCTATTTGATAAGATTTCATTTGCATGTGGTATTTTAATTCTTTGGAAGATAGAAAATAGTAGCCAAAATGTTTGTTAATAGAATTATTCTTAGGTCAATCTACTATTCTAATGAATTGCTTCAAAAACCTCATCTGACCCACCAGTGTGTTTACATTCCAATTAATGAACTCATAACAACTGGATCATGTTATAATTGCAGACGAAATTTTCTATTGTTAAAATGTCACAATATTCGGCAAATCAATATTCCACTCAAACTACCATAAAATCGATTGCCTTCAAACAAAATATAAAACAGCAAAAAATCCGGGAAATCAAGTTCGATTTTAGCTTAAAAACTTGAAAAGCGAATAGATTTTATGCCGGCTCGCCACGGCGAGCCGGTATTACGTTAGGATTTTACTGAGAAACAACCTAAAACTCCGAATCCATCCAAAAATTTAATCGAAGCTGGGCTTCCAGCTTTCTACAAAATGTATCTATCAGGGCTAGGATCCAAAATTATTTAGCCAATCAAATTTAATCTTACATAGCGTCAAAAAACCTTCAATTTTCACGCCATTTTTATAAAGCAGCAAGTATTGCTTTGAGCGCAAAGTTCATGAATTCATTTCAATATATCATATTTACACTGACTTTTGATTTAGCAATTTCACCAGTCCTGTTTTCTCTGTAGTAAGTTTTCGTTTGGTTAATTTACATAAGTGTACATTTGGTTCTGTGCAATTTTTTTCTTTTTCCTTTTTCCGGTCATTTCATCCTTTCCGGTGTTTAGAGTATGTATTTACTGACCGGGATCCGGGACGCCCGGGATCCGGGATCGTATAAGATATAGAGGAAAAAACAAATAAACTATATTTGTGTTGATTATTGTCGTAATGAAAGGCCATTAAACGTTAAGTTTTAACATTTTTTTTATTCTATGTAATGAACGTTAAATTAATTTAACTTAGGATATAGATATATAGATATATTTAGAGCTATTTATTAACAAAATCACAATACTTATAATTATATACCTAATTAATTGGAAAATCAAAGACTATATTGTTGAATTGGTCAAATTCCGGGATCCTTATATGTTTTAATACGATCCCAGCTTTTCTGAAAACTATATTCTTGAACTGGCCAATTCCTGGGATCTCTTTATATTCTAATACGATCCCGGCTTTTCTGAAAACTATATTCTTGAACTGGTCAATTCTCGGGATCCCAATATGTTTTAATAGAACCCCGACTTATCTGAAAAACATCTTCTTAGACTGGTCAATTTCCGGGATCACTATATTATTTAATAGGATCCCGGCTTTTCTGGCTGAATTGATTGACAACTAGTGTTTACTTTAGGACTTGTGTCTGACACTCATTTCAATACTAAATAACATATTACAACTTAACTTCGTATAAGGAGACATCTTTATGAATTCTACCTATCTAACATTTTTTTTGGTCAAGGTCAACAGGTCATATAGTAAATGTGCAAAGACATAGGGACTTCATTCTATCTGTTTACATGCATCTTCATATATACTCATATTCCTCTTTGTTAAACTGAGAGAACTGGCTTCCATAACTTTATATGTCACTTTTATTTTGATGTTCGCTGAAGTCTCTTCAGCTAACAGAACTGTCATTTTTACATTTAAACACACACCCTGGAAAAAAAACGAAGCGAGTCACTACTAGCTTTTTTAAAAGCTAACCTTGTAGTATACTACTGTTAGACCTGTTCACTGTCGCACAACGTCGAAATAAAAGCCACATTTAAAGTTAAGAACTAGGTCTATTTAAATATTAACGGTAAAATGACATGTGCAGGACCGTAAAAAAGAAAACTGGAATGATAATACTATATATAACAATTCGTAAAAAATGGCCTACTTAAATTTCAACTGTTTGTTCTGCAAAATTATCCAGTTTGTTATTCATTACAATAGCGCGACACGAATAGGTGCAACAATTACATTGATTAATAAAAAAACGAAGAGCGAAATTCTCCAGTTCGCTATTCATTGTACATATCGCGACATTTCATTTTTGATAATCAAACGCCCTCATACCAATCGGAGTGATCGGCTGTTATAACCGAGGTAAAGGCCCGAGAAGATACAATTGCCCTTTCACAAAATCTGATTTTTCATTCCATAAAGGGCGTTACGCTTCGGCGCGGACGCCAATAAACATATCTGTTGAAATACTTACTTTATTATACATGTATATGCTCCTGTACAATTGAATGGTGAGATAAGGACTATGTAACACCTCATGAGTGAGAAGCTATTATATATTTTATGTCCGAATCTGGGTTATTTATCACCCTTAAACCAAAGCTGAAAGCCTGGCCAAACTCAGAATTCAAAAGATGAAACCCTAATTTTGACACCCAAAAGCGTGTTGTTTTCTATAATAATTCTCTCACTCATTAAAAGTTTTAAAGTACTTTGCTCTCACTCATAAGTGTTATATGATTCATTGCTCTCACAAATTAGGACAAATAATAACACCTCTGTCATTCTTTAGAATAATAATATTATAAATCTATCACTGTGTTTTATAGTGCTTTGCTCTCATCCATTAGGTAAAATAATGACTTCTCTCTCAGCCCTAAAGACAATTATCTGATAGTTTTCTCGCTCATTAAAGGCCTCAACAGACGATAGGATTTAGTTGTATAACACTAATTAGAGATAAGATGTACAATTTTCAAAGCAATACAATACTTGCATTCAGACGTTATTCTGCATTGTAGGAATCATCTCAGGTTTTCCTATAAAAAAAGTTCCCTCCCAATTGATCCCTTATATACTTTACTCATTAAATATTTTTTCTCCATGAGTAATGATTGAAACACCTCCATTTTTTCAAATTGTTAATTTTTTATTTTTAATATGAAGCCTGACCGAGAATCAAACCTAGGACTCTCGGAATACCGTACCGCGGTTCTACTGACTGAGCTATCTGGCTGCCTACAAACAACCTTCCCTGATTAGAGAACAGTTCAATACCGTGACATAATCATTTTCAGAACAATTTGGGATTCGAACGTACCAGAACTTTGGGTCTCCTGAAGAGTTTTTTCAACATTATTTTTGACCCATCTTTCTACTATGTTTACCTTTTAGTCCTAATTGTTCTGGAATTTCATTCATTACACCCTTTATCAGGAGATTATTTGGTAATCTGTTACTTGTCATTGTGGGAGGTATGTAGAAATCTGTACGACAAGATTTTCAAAATAGAACATGGCCTATACCTTACATCTAGACTTAAGGTTTACGCATTCAAGAAATAGTAGCCTTCACACATTAAGATTTGCTTGTACATCTTAGTTTTAATTGGTGTTGTAGTTCAAAATCCTACCGGCTGTTGAGGCCTTAAGGGGTATATGATTCATTGCTCTCACTATAAAGTCACTTATTTTAGGAAGATATAAGAACTTGTGTATAGAAATTATGCAAATAAAAAGCGATTAAATTATCATTATGATAATTTTTGATAATAAATATAAGCAATTTCTAATAATATACCTCTACAAACTGCAATTTTATTGCAAAAGTCTATTAAAACGTTATAATCAATTTTTTAAAAGTCACTTTCGCTCACTTTCTTCAAAAAAGTCACTTTCGTATTTTAGGCAAACCCTATTTTACATGTAAGAATAAATAATTTACACTAATGGAATTGTATTTGTTATGGCGGATATCCCCTTGTATACTTTAAGGGCATCTTACGGCGCTTAAACACAATTGAAATACATAAAGGAAAGAACAAAGGGCCTTAAAAAAAATTGGTCTTATCTTTCTCTTGGTGGTAGTTTTTTTCCGTTCTTGTAGTAAATCTCGACATGCGCACTCGACGAGTTTAGTGAGGGAAAACAAAAATGGCGGAAGAACAGGTAATTGCAATTCTCAATTTATTTTCTTGTTTGCAACCTAATTCACGCATGTCAGCGTTAATTCCAAATAAAGTTACATTGAGCATCTGTATTTGATTAATATACTGCCGCGTTCTTAACTAAAACGACTTCCAGTTCTGTTGAAATCATTGAGAAATGACGAAAATTATGCATGTTTTGTGGAAAGGTTGTTTTCCAATCACTTTTCTGCAGGGAAATACTTTTTATGCCCCCGAAGGGAGGCATAATATAATCGCACCTTTCGTCCGTCTGTGCATCCCCACTTTATTCGTGACCGACTGTAACTTTGTCATACATTTAGGGATTTTGAAATAACTTGGCACAAACTGACAAATGTCTACCACATCAAGACGATGTGTGGGCAGCACGAAATACACAAATATACACAAATATTGCCCAAATATACACAAATATTGTCTAAATATACTAAAAATAAATGTTTCATACAAAAAAATTGTTGTTTTATTATGTATTACAATATACACAATCATGAATGGTCTTTCACAATTTTCAGAATAGGTGCGACAGACCCGTTCAAAATTTACAATCTGCATAGCTTAAGCTTACAATTGCTCCTTTTTCCTGATTTTTTTTCTAATAAATTGATTAAAATCTCGATTTGTGTTGATGTATTGTTTAAAATTAAAACATCTTACTGCTGATCTTCAAACAGAAAGTTGAATTGCTTCACAGATTTTTTTTATTGCTTCACAGATTTTTTTTTATAACAGTTTAATCAAGTAAATGTCTGAAACAGCAAAATAATATGTCAAATCAGGGTCTTTCAGTTACATGAGACCCAAATGAATGGGAATTTTGCGGCAGTATTTTTGATTTGATATTTTAAACTTTGGAACATAGTTTTTCAAGCTGAATGAATTTAGATTTGTCTTCCAGTTGTAAGGTTATGGAGTAATAAAAGATATTTTCCAGCAAACTGGAATTTTTTTTTAGAACATCAAGGTTTTCGTTATCAATAATCAATTGGTGATACAAACCACTGGTTAAAATGCTGTAAAATTCGGTTGTATTTTCATCCTGTATATTCAAGTATTACTCTTGACCCTTGGCAAAATCAGATGTTTTCTTTGCCTCAAATAAAAATGAAAACCCTGCAACATATTCAGGTCAAGTTGTGCATTGCAAACAAATCTGTTATAAATACAAGGTAAACATTTGGTTATAGTGTAACAGACGAAAAATGTCCTCAGTGGTAAATTCTTTGTGAAATATCTCAAAAAGCGTCATTTGGGTAAATTCCATGTAGATCTATGTAAACTTTTCATTTAATTAAAAGACTGCAACATGTATTAAATTTTCATTTTTAGCTCGACTATTCGCAGAATAATCGAGCTAATGCAGTCACCCATTTGTCGGCATCGGCGTCCCTGTGGTTAAGTTTTTGTATGTAAGCTGGTATCTCCATAACTACTGAAGGGAATAGATTGAAACTTAACACACTTGTTCTCTGTGATTATCTAAGATGATTGGCACAAGTCCCATAACTCTGATTTGCTTTTTTTCATAATTATGCCCCTTTTTCGATTTAGAAATTCTTGGTTAAGTTTTTGTATGTAAGCTGGTATCTCCATAACTACTGAAGGGAATGGATTGAAACTTCACACACTTGTTCTCTGTGATTATCTAAGATGATTGGTACAAGTCCCATAACTCTGATTTGCTTTTTTACATAATTATGCCCCTTTTTCGACTTAGAAATTCTTGGTTAAGTTTTTGCGTGTAAGCTGGTATCTCCATAACTACTGATGGGAATGGATTGAAACTTCACACACTTGTTCTCTGTGATTATCTAAGATGATTGGTACAAGTCCCATAACTCTGATTTGCCTTTTTACATAATTATGCCCCTTTTTCGACTTAGAAATTCTTGGCATACATGTGATATCCCGACGGGATTTTAAAAAATCCCGATGTTGAGACCCTTATCCCGATTCCCGATATCAGCTTATGAAATCCCGATATTTGTCTCTCACAAAAAAAAAATCGTCGGTAAAATTCCATATCTCGCACCTTAAGGTAAAGTCAAAGTGTGCCGATTATCTCGGACGTAAGTGTCCAAGTGTGCCGAATGAGAGGATTAACGAGTGACACTTTATATTGTTTATTGGATAATTGATTGTTTGTTTGGATAATAATTATTGAAATCACACGTTAAGCGTGTCTTTGAATAGCCACCTGACTGCAATTAGCGGATTTGTATAATACGCGGCCGTATTTTGTGATGTCCAAAAGATGTTTATGTCCGGATAATAGGACACTGTCAGAGAAAAACTATTCGTCTTTTGATCTACTTTAATTATTTTAGCACGTTTAGTATAATTATTTTACGATGGAGAAAAAAAAAAGATTTGTCAAGCCCTTTCCTGGCATATTTACTGAAAAGTCACTCATGACTGCTGTTAAAAATGCTTGCCAACTGTATAAAGATAAGTGATGTGATGACATTAGATAAGTGATGTGATGACAATGATTGATAAAGGAATGTGATTGTTCCAGAAAGAACTGATGTGACATTGATATTGAAATGTGACTAACGTTAGAAATTAGATATAGGACATGTAATAGTATTATGTTTTTGTTTTGTTAAATGTGCTTGATTAGATCATGAATAAAATAATAGAAACTTTACTTTTTACTTTCTGTCATTGTTATTATAAAATGGTCTTTGTGTAAAAGGTTTCTACCAAATTTGCTTAACGCGCATTGAAATTTAAGTCGATAAAAAAATCCAGTTTTGAGCCCCAAAATCCAGCTGAAAATCCAGTTTTGGCCCATTTCAGTTGTCACATGTATGTCTTGGTTAAGTTTTTGCGTGTAAGCTGGTATCTCCATAACTACTGATGGGAATGGATTGAAACTTCACACACTTGTTCTCTGTGATTATCTAAGATGATTGGTACAAGTCCCATAACTCTGATTTGCCTTTTTACATAATTATGCCCCTTTTTCGACTTAGAAATTCTTGGTTAAGTTTTTGTATGTAAGCTGGTATCTCCATAACTACTGAAGGGAATGGATTGAAACATCACACACTTGTTCTCTGTGATTATCTAAGATGATTGGCACAAGTCCCATAACTCTGATTTGCCTTTTTACATAATTATGCCCCTTTTTCGACTTAGAAATTCTTGGTTAAGTTTTTGCGTGTAAGCTGGTATCTCCATAACTACTGAAGGGAATGGATTGAAACTTCACACACTTGTTCTCTGTGATTATCTAAGATGATTGGCACGAGTCCCATAACTCTGATTTGCTTTTTTACAAAATAATGCCCCTTTTTCGACTTAGAAATTCTTGGTTAAGTTTTTGCGTGTAAGCTGGTATTTCCATAACTACTGAAGGGAATGGATTGAAACTTCACACACTTGTTTTCTGTGATTATCTTAGATGATTGGCACAAGTCCCATAACTCTGATTTGCTTTTTTACATAATAATGCCCCTTTTTCGACTTAGAAATTCTTGGTTAAGTTTTTGTGTGTAAGCTTGTATCTCCATACCTACTGAAGGGAATGTATTGAAACTTGAAGGGTTTGTACCTTTTCGGACAATTTTATGTATTTATATAGGTAAGCATTATTATACTCAATGAAACACCCTTGTGACAAATTTTCGAATAGTCGAGCGTTACTGTCCTCCGACAGTTCTTGTTAAGAAAAAAAATCACAATTGTCACAGTACCTGAGACCCATTCACAATTTGAGGGAAAAGGTCGCTGGAAAATCATTGCACATTCAAGGTGTCTTGCTTTAAATTTTGTAATTAGAAGAAACTAATATAAGTTTTGAAATGTTCTGTACAAGAATTTGGACTTAAACATGTAGCTTTAGAAATCATTTTTAATCTGCTTGGCTGCTGAACTGCCACCTGTGTACTTGTCAGTAAATTCTTTAATTGTACAGTTCTATGTTAAATAACCCTCATATAAGGTGTAACTACTAAGACGGTGTTGTTACAAAGTATATTTTAACATTAATCAGATCTTGCATTACATTTACTTGTTTCCTCTGTGTTTTGGAGAAGTTGTGTTGGTTAGTTACTCTAATGGTACATTATTAACTTATTTTCAGGAGCTACTGCAGTTGGAGAGTCTCTGTAAACAGCTTTATGAGACGGCAGACACAAACCTACGTACAGAGGCAGAGAAGGCCCTGGTCGCCTTTGCCAATACTCCTGACTGTTTGAGTAAATGTCAGTTGCTACTAGAACGAGGAAACGTAAGTACTTTGATATCACCTCTGGTTTGGTTTACTGTAAAACATTGAATGTTGACAAAGTCGCAAGTCAGATCATTTAGTTGGAATTATTTGTATTTAAGTGCCAAGAGTTAATGCAAGTAAGAATAGAAGTTTTAGGATACTTGTAAGTTTATAAAGATTTTTTTTTGGTTTTAACATAATACAATATCTGTTTCTGTTGTAATAAGAAAAAAGGGTGTAGTAATACAATATCTGTTTCTGTTGTAATAAGAAAAGAGTGTGGTAAATGGCTGTCAGTTTGATTGTATGAGTTGATTTGTATTTATAGTCCCCATATGCACAACTACTGGCTGCCACTACCCTGACCAAACTTGTTAGTCGAATCAATATTACACTGCCGCTTGAACAAAGAATTGACATAAGTAAGTATATAATAAACATGTTTTACCAGGGCAGTATTTCAAGTTTTTTAGGCTTAGGGGTCCTTGCCCTAGCCTTTCTATGTTAGGGGAATAACTTCAGATACGCGTGTGAACTAGAGTTAAGGGTCAAATTTAACATCATAAAACTGAAAGTGGAATCAAATTTACAGGTGTAAGTTTTATCATATTGGGGGAGAATTGCATGATTTTAAAGAAATTGTCTATGGGGTATGTAACGGTTATCAAGCCACAGTTATAGAATAAAATTAGCTACAGTTATAGAATAAAAAAAATAAAAATAAACACTGTGATATTTTAGAAATTTTATTTCTCAAGTCTTGAAGGAGCATTGTTTTAATATTTTAAAAAGGAATTTAATCCAGCATGTAATGTGACACAATTGAAAATATAACACAAAAAAATATGATAGTTAAATAGCAGGACACATGCCCTAATGTAATTTGTCTCCTTAAACTGGCATTATTTGACTAGTTTAAAGCAATATTTTTACTAATTTTAAGATGTTTAACATGTAGATATTCTATATTAAGACATATATTAATTTTAAACTATTGTTACATTTCAGGAAATTATATACTAAACTACTTGGCTACCAGACCTAAATTAGTACACTATGTTTTACAAGCTCTTGTACAGGTATGGTCATTTTATTTGCGTAAATGTAACAATTGATATACAACACTAAATCCTAAACTGTTGAGCTTGAAGAAATGGGGCCCTGTAGATAAGAGTTGCTTAATGATTCAAATGATCGCCTCAGTTTGATTTGATAATAGGCTGTTTCTTGTTGGGGGTGTTATTTTTGCGAAGAGAATAAGTATGTTATCATGTAAGGTTTGTGGATATGTCTACATGTGTTTACCGGTATATTAAATAATTTTCCTCATGGTACTCAATGTTTCTAAGTAGTACAAGTATAAGCAGTTTATAGTCAGAAGTTTCTTACCAGGGGGAGATTTGTGCATAGAATAATGCAGGTATTCTACCAATATACTTACTCTGGAATTAAGAATATTTTGGGTTATCCCAGCTAATGGAGGGGAACAAACAAACTTTTACAGTTACAGCTTCAAAATAAGCGCAACAGTTTGACCTTTTCAGTGTGACAGGAAGTGCATCATGAAGCTATAAAGGTAAAAGTTTGTTTGTACGGGGCATTAGCATGGAAAAACCCACATTTGCCGAGTTCAGGATTACAACCATTATGCTGGAAAGATGTCAAATGTCTCAAACAGTGTTGTGATGTAAAACCCAACCAAAATAATTAGTAATAGTGGGTAGTTAAACCAATAGGCATGTCATGTTGCATACAATGTTTCATTGTTTATTATTTATGGTTAAGTGTAAGAAGACATTATTACAAATTTACGTCGTATTTTTCAGTTATTTTCTAGAATTACAAAGCTTGGTTGGTACGATGTCATCAAAGATGAGTATGTATTTAGAAATGTTGTCACAGATGTTGGCAAGTTTATACAGAGCGGGTCAACACAACACGTTATGATAGGTGTACAGTTGTTGTCACAACTTGTCGTTGAAATGAACAGAGTCACTGAGGTAAATTCCCTTTAAAACATCTTATTATCCCCCGCCGAAAAATTTCGGCTGAGGGTATAGAAATAGTCTCCGTCCGTCCGACCTCCCTTCCGTCCGACATTTTTGTCCAGAGCATATCTCTAAAGTATTTGAGTTATCAACTTGAAACTTCATAGGTGGATAGACCTCATTGAGGAGTAGTGCAGTGCACAAGAATGATAACTCTACCTTGCATGATTTTTGAGTTATTGCCCTTTGCTATTTTTCAAAATTGATTTTTGTCCAGAGCATCCTATGAGATATTAACATGAAACTTCATAGGTGCATAGATCTTACTCAGGAGGTGTGCAGTGCACAAGAATGATAACTCTACCTTTCATAATTTTTGAGTTATTGCCCTTTGTTATTTTTCATACCTAATTTTTCACCTGAGTGGAGCATAACTCAAAAAGTGTTTGAGATATCAACATGAAATGTCATAGGTGGATAGATCTTATTGAGGAGGAATGTTGTGCGCAAGAATGATAACTCTTCCCTATACAATTTTTGAGTTATTGCCCTTTGTTTTTTTTCATGCTATTTTGTCCAGAGCTTATCTGAAAAAGTATTTGAGGTATCAACTTGAAACTTCAAAGGTGGATGGATCTCATTGAGGAGGAGTGCAGTGCTTAAGAATGATAACTCTACCCTGCATTATTTTTGAGTTATTGCCCTTTGTTATTTTTCAAAATTAATTTTTGTCCAGAGCATAACTCAAAAAGCCTTTGAGATATCAAAATGAAACTTCATAGGTGCATAGATCTCACTCAGAAGGTGTGCACTGCACAAGAATGATAACTCTACCTTTTATAATTGTTGTGTTATTGCCCTTTGTTCTTTTTCATACTTAATTTTTCAATTCAATTTTTTTCTCAAAAAGTATTTGAGGTATCAACTTGAAATTTCATAGGTGGATAGATTTTACTGAGGAGGGATGCAGCACACAAGAATGATAACCTACCCTGCATTATTTTTCAGTAATTGCCCTTTGTTATTTTCAGCCATCAGTATTCACATAGGTTTCAAATCTGTAATCACTATAGCCATCAGTTTTCATTACCAAAAGACCTCTTAAAATGGAATTATTCCGCTCTACTACATATACAATTTTTACCAATGAGCAAACACATTCGGCGGGGGATGGCCATGTTGACATGGCTCTTGTCCATTTTAAAATATGTTGGTTAATCTTGATCATGGTAAAGTTTTAACTTATATAATTGAGCTATTTTGCACACTGGCATTTTCAATGATTACTGTTAATAGGACAATGGATTGTAATATTTTTTATTCATAAATGTTACATGATCATATACAGGTTTAATTCAAATTTTGCTAACTTTTACGTATTGATTTCTCCTCTTTATTTAACCAAGATGATGGTTAACAGATTATTATAGTCTTTTTAACAAGGTACTAGTTTGTAATAATTATTGGTACACAGAAAAAAACATGAAATATAGGCCAAGTTCAAATTTGGTTTCAGACCACTTATTTTTAAAAAAATTAAGGTGATGGATGGGGGTATGAATCCCCCTAAGTGATAGCTCTAGTCGTTTTCGTAGTCAAGAAACAGACAAGAAGTTTTGAATAAGATAGCTATGTGACAATGGATTGGTCCAAAGTTAAAGAGGGGCAAGTGTATACAAATTTAGCTGTGTAAAAGTTTCAAGTTGTGGTTACATGTTTATCATACAGGCTGAAGCAAGTCGTTCCCTGACCAAGCACAGAAAGATCGCCTCTTCATTTAGAGATACTCAACTGTTTGAAATATTTCAACTGGCATGCTCACTTCTTAGAACAGCTGCAGGAAATATCAAAACACTCGACTTTTCTGATGAAAACCAGGTAATGCTGAGTTTTTATTCAAGTTTAATCATTCTTTTATTACAAGCAGTGTTTTATTTGTCATTTCTCTTATTAAAGTAAGAAGGAAACATGGGATTTTAATCTTAGACATCAATGGTTTCTAATAGCTAGTTTCCAAAGACAGTATTTCCGGAAAAGAAATCCTAACCAGCGTGCCTAATTTCCAAGTCTCCAGCTAAAAGTATAATGTTTGACTTGCTACATATACTTATATTTACAAGCACTAACGTTTTCACAGATATTGATTGTATAACTTTTGCATGAGTAAGTTCAAGTAGACAATGTGCTAAAAAAATCCAACTTTTTAGCAGGATAAAAACTTCTTTGCATTACAATTAGTGGCAGATTGGGAAAAAAATAAAATAACTAGGAAATATAAAAGGTGAACAAAAAAATCACAGTAAAACTTGTCAGTTTGAGTATTCATAATAGATTTGGCACGAAGTCAGTGAAAGTTAAATTGATGTTTTGAATATATTTACATTGGTACAAGTTTTCTGGCATTTGTCTGAAGTTCAGGGATTTTTTACTCATGAAATCTCTCTTTTTCTATGTAAAACCAATTGAAATAATGCTTAATTCAGAGTTTTCAGATACTTTTAACTTGCACCCATGTATTTATAATTAGAAACATGTATGATAACAAATTGTGCAATGTATTTGATTACAGCATGGTTTACTGTTACATTCCCTCCGACTGGCCCACAACTGCTTGACGTTTGATTTTATTGGTACATCTACAGACGAGTCATCAGATGATCTCTGTACTGTACAGATTCCAACCAGTTGGAGAACAGGTATGTACGTTTAACTGTTAAGTCAATTTACCCTTATAATACCAAGGCTCACGCGGGATATGAGAATAATTCAAGCCAACCTTTTCAAGGAACTCCATCGAGATCCAGAAACCTGAAATTTTAATTCCTTACATAGCTCAACTTGAACACTTACAACAGAACAATATGCAAGAGATGTTTTAGAAATATACTCAGAATAAATATTTTTGTGCTATTTTAGCACAATTTAGGTGTAAAAGCATTCTAAAGTGGGAACGCTTTACAATTTTGGATTGATTTTTTTACAATTTGAATTATCATTCTTGAAAAATGTTATGAACGAACTATTTGAAATGTTGCACACAATTTATTGCATGAATGATTATTAACACATATGACTCTTGAAAATTTCTATAAATATCCTTCAGAATATATCGGCAATGTTCAATTGAGAAAAAGAGTGGGGCAGTTGGAATTTTTTATGCAGTTTTCTAGAAAATAAATAAGCCTTGATATAGAGCCAAGTCAGCCTGCTAATACCTGGTATTTTGGATACTGTAAACCAATCGTATTTATAGTATACTGTGAAATCATTTGTATTCGTGGGCATGAAATTTCGTGGTTTTATCAAAACTGGCATTTTCGTGGGTTCTTAAATTCGTGGATTTTCATTTCCTTGTAAAATAAAAATTAAGCAATGGAAAGTAATCTTTCACTTAATCACCGCGCTGTTTTACTTACTGCGTGTATATAACACAGCTCTTGTCAATAAATTTAATCCTTGCCTCTGGCAGTAACACGGTTACTGCCGATAATTGACAGCAATTAACACATTCAGGGTTGCCAGCGGACTTGAAAAGTCAGGGAAATTGGGTATTTTTTCAAGGTCAGGGAATTGTCAGGGAATTTTGAAATTTGGTCAGTGAAAAATGAAAATCCTGAAAAGTCAGTGAAAAGTCAGGGAAAAGTTATTTCAAAGGTCGAAAAATATACGCATTGAAGGTCTTTCTTGGCTATGGCAGTCTTTAGGCATTTAATATTTGACTTTATCACTCTCACAGTTAGCATTAAATTCAAATAACAGTAAACTATGATATTAAGAAGAATTATATGTTAACTTAGTGATTATAATACCCATTAACCTTAGAACATCATTCAGCCTAAAGACTGAAAGGCTTTGCAACCCTTGTCTCCAGAGCTGACTAATACGTAATTTCTGTTGCATAATTTAACCAGTTTCCATCATGTTTGCAAGACAAATATTCTTGTACAATTTCTTAGTGTCAAAGCAAAAATCAAAGCAGGTTATATGCCAATATGGTAGTTTGGTATACATGTACTGACTAGATTTTGTTAGTAATTAAAAGCCCTTCTTTGCTTTTTGCTTTGACACTAAGAAATTGTACAAGAGGATTTGTCTTGCAAACATGATTGAAACTGGTTAAATTATGCAATGCTATGTTTTTTCACTCTAACTTTTTTTCAAAACTAACTTACTTCACTCATTCAAAAGTCTTTAATTTTATACTGATTATTTCATGATATGCCAAAATGAGCCCTATGTTCTTGTTTTCAACAATCAGTGGAGTTTATCATGATGCCTTATACAAGTAAACTGTGTTAAATGTTTATTGTTCTTATAGTTTAGAGATGTTTGAATTTTAAGTTTTGTCATACAAGTATTACTCTTATAGTCTTGGTGTTTTATGTGTTACTACTGGGAAGGAAAGAGTGACTTATGTGATTTCTAATACAGATGCTTATATTATGATTCTTCTGATTTTCATGTCATATGTTTCACTGACCAACAGTCACACTGTATTTGAATAGAAATAGTTAAGAATAGTAGAACACAATGTTTGAATCATTACTTTGATGTAAATGTTTTATATTTTGGAAAATAAATACAAGTTTATATGCAAAATATAATGGGAGGATTGGACGGCTTAAAGGGGAGGTCAGGAGGACGTTTATGTGTTTGACGATTTTGGTCAGTAAAAAACATGAATTGGTCAGTGAAAAGTCAGGGAAAAGTCAGGGAATTTTATTTCACCAAAGTGCTGGCAACCCTGACATTTGTGTGACATGATATGCAGCTCCATTGGTAACACTGCCCCTATAATTCGCCAATGTAAACATCGCTTAAATTATACGACATCTGCCACTTTTTAAGTTTACACTCTGAATCGGTCCAAAACTACACACTACATCACATTGACTGTGTAAATTTATATGCATACAAATTAATACGAGTAAGTGGCTCAACACAGTTAGATTCTAGTAAAAAGACGGCAACTTCTTTGATATTTTTGGAATAGCAGTCACACAAATACATATTGAAATATCATTATTTAAATGGATCATATAATCACTAGTCGTGTTAAGTTTTATCAGCGTTAATTAATGCACTGGGTTCCCATATTTACTCGATTAGGCTATATCACGTATTCTGGCTAACACAATCAAGTAGTCTACAACGATGAAGTTGTCCCCCTGATGTTTATATGTGACGAACATTTGTGACAGCAAATTGAAGACAATTACAATTAAAATTTTTATGCCCCCCTTCGAAGAAGAGGGGGTATATTGTTATGTCTCCCCCACCTCGGGGGGAGACATATTGTTTTTGCCCTGTCCGTCCGTCCGTCCGTCCGTCCGTCAGTCCGTCCGTCCGTCAGTCCGTCCGTCCGTCCATTCTTCGTTTCCGGACGATAACTAGAGTTCCTTTTGACCTACAGCCCTCAAACTTCATAGGATGATTGGTCTTATAGAGCTGATGATCCCTATTGTTTTTGGGGTCAGTAGGTCAAAGGTCAAGGTCACAGTGACCGTAGGTCAATTTTTCGTTTCCGGATGATAACTAGAGTTCCTTTAGACCTACAGACCTCAAACTTCATAGGATGATTGGTCTTATTGAGCAGATGATCCCTATTGTTTTTGGGGTCAGTAGTTCAAAGGTCAAGGTCACAGTGACCGTTGGTCAATTTCTCGTTTCCGGATGATAACTAGAGTTCCTTTTGACCTACAGCCCTCAAACTTCATAGGATGATTGGTCTTATAGAGCAGATGATCCCTATTGCTTTTGGGGTCAGTAGGTCAAAGGTCAAGGTCACAGTGACCGTTGGTCAATTTCTCATTTCCGGGATGATAACTAGAGTTGTCCTTTTGACCTACAACCCTCAAACTTCATAGGATGATTGGTCTTATAGAGCTGATGATCCCTATTGTTTTTGGGGTCAGTAGGTCAAAGGTCAAGGTCACACTGACCGTTGGTCAATTTCTTGTTTCCGGATGATAACTAGAGTTCCTTTAGACCTACAGACCTCAAACTTCATAGGATGATTGGTCTTATTGAGCAGATGATCCCTATTGTTTTTGGGGTCAGTAGTTCAAAGGTCAAGGTCACAGTGACTGTTGGTCAATTTCTCGTTTCCAGATGATAACTAGAGTTCCTTTTGACCTACAGCCCTCAAACTTCATAGTATCATCAAAATCCTTTAAAGGTTTGAAGAATTATGGAGCAGACACAATTTCATTTAATTTCATTTGTGAAACTATATATGATATGACCATCAAGTGCAATTTCGTTTGACGCCCGCCTGCCATACGCTGATTGAATAACCAGGATTTTCAAAATTGAATACCTGGTTAAAAACAAACAGTTTAGGAAGCATCTTCTCATACAACCTTAACAATAGAAACCATCCATAGACAGCCTTCATTGAAGTGACTACCGGGTATTTACATTATCTTATCTCCATTTCCATTCCTGTTTCCATTCACAGTTATTCTCAGCAGTGGGGGAGACATGCGCTTTTTTACAAAAGCATCCTCTAGTTTTGTTAATGTCGGTCTGTCTGTCTGTCTGTCGGTCCGTCGGTCTGTCCGTCGGTAGACCACATGGTTTCCGCTGATTATCTTGAAAAGTATGTATCACTATCACAAAGTCTTCATATTTCACATAGTGATTGGTCATCACTAGTAGATGACCCCTATTGATTTTGGGGTCACTAGGTCAAAGGTCAAGGTCACAGGGGCCTTAAATGTCAAAATGGTTTCCGCTGATTATCTTGAAAAGTATGTATCACAAAGTCTTCATATTTCACATAGTAATTTGTCATCACTAGAAGATGACCCAATGGCATATTGATTTTGGAATCACTAGGTCAAAGGTCAAGGTCACAGGGGCCTTAAATGTCAAAATGGTTTCCGCTGATTATCTTGAAAAGTATGTATCACAAAGTCTTCATATTTCACATAGTGATTTGTCATCACTATTAGATGACCCTATTGATTTTGAGGTCAAAGGTCAAGGTCACAGGGGCTTTAAATGTCAAAATGGTTTCCACTGATTATCCTTCATATTTCACATAGTGATTGGCCAGCATTAGTAGATGACCCCTATTGATTTTGGGGTCACTAGGTCAAAGGTCAAGGTCACAGGGGCTTTAAATGTCAAAATGGTTTCCGCTGATTATCTTGAAAAGTATGTATCACAAAGTCTTCATATTTCACATAGTGATTCGTCATCACTAGTAGATGACCCCAATTGATTTAGGGGTCACTAGGTCAAAGGTCAAGGTCACAGGGACCTTGAATGTCAAATGGTTTCCGCTGATTATCTTGAAAAGTATGTATCACAAAGTCTTCATATTTCACACAGTGATTGGTCATAACTATTAGATGACCCCTATTGATTTTGGGGTCACTAGGTCAAAGGTCAAGGTCACAGGGGCTTTAAATGTCAAAATGGTTTCCGCTGATTATCTTGAAAAGTATGTATCACAAAGTCTTCATATTTCACATAGTGATTGGTCATCACTAGTAGATGACCCCTATTGATTTTGGGGTCACTAGGTCAAAGGTCAAGGTCACAAGGACCTTAAATGTCAAAATGGTTTCCGCTGATTATCTTGAAAAGTATGTATCACAAAGTCTTCATATTTCACATAGTGATTGGTCATCACTAGTAGATGACCCCTATTGATTTTGGGGTCACTAGGTCAAAGGTCAAGGTCACAGGGACCTTAAAATGTCAAAATGGTATCCGCTGATTATTTTGAAAATTATTCATCACAAAGTCTTCATATTTCACCTAGTGATTGGTCATAACTTGTAGATGACCCCTATTGATTTTGGGGTCACTAGGTCAAAGGTCAAGGTCACAGGGGCCTTAAATGTCAAAATGGTTTCCGCTGATTATCTTGAAAAGTATTCATCACAAAGTCTTCATATTTCACCTAGTTATTGGTCATAAGAAGTAGATGACCTCTATTGATTTAGTGGTCATTAGGTCAAAGGTCAATGTCACATGGGCCTTAAATGTCAAAATGGTTTCCGTTGATTTTTCCATAATTAAACACTTCCATGTACCCATTTTTGGCAAGTTTATGTAATAAAATTATCAATTATGTGAGTCAATGGCTAGAAAGGGGGGTATATGTGTCGTTCGACATTCTTGTTTTTCAAGTTTCTTAAATATTGCAAAACCAAACTATTTTTGGATTAAATTTGTCACTGACCTGATTATTAGTATTCATTCATACCACAAAAAATCGGCCGGAAAAGCGCCGACCCATGTTGTGATATATGGAACAGAGACATGGTAAGAAGTATTTATTGAGATAAAATTTCCTTGGGCCCAAAATTTGTGGATTGACCTATCCACGAAAACCACGAAAATTCGTGCCCCACGAATAATAATGATTTCACAGTATGCTCTCATTCAATATTGATAAGGACAAAATTGCCATGCAGGCTATAACACCTATGTTTTATGAAGAAATCTTTAATAGATAGATTGATTTTATTTATAATTCTAAGAAAAATGATACAAGTGGGACAATCAAAACAGGATAAGTTAACCAACCGTTCCACTTGCAGGAGTCTTCATCAGGGTTGTAAGATATTATTTATAAGAGCCGCGCCATGAAAAACCAACATAATGGTTTTGCCACCAGCTTGGATTCAGACCAGCCTGCGCATCCGCATAGTCTGATCAGGATCCATGCTGTTCACTAACAAACCGTATAACAAGTAGAGAAACTGATAGCGAACAGCATGGATCCTGATCAGACTGCGCAGATGCGCAGGCTGGTCTGGATCCATGCTTGTCGCAAACGCACTATGTTGGTTTGGTTGTGACGTGGCTCATTTATAATTCTTTGACAGCAACATCTTGATAATTACCTATTGATTAAATGTGATACATACTAAACAACTTTCTTTCTGATTTCAGCATTTCTTGACATTTCTACGCTTCAGTTATTTTTCAATTTATATTCTGGCCTTCCATCATCATTATCACCAATGGTAAGTAAAACTATGATTTTTTTTCCCTATCAATCTATAAAACTAATTTACATTGGGTTTATACTTGTTTCAGCTTGTATGTGAAAAATGCATGTAATTTGCATGTAAGATTGAAACGGTCCAGCTGTGGCAGTGTTGTTGAGGTCTCTGACTAATTGAGCCGCGTCATGACAAAACCAACGTAATGCGTTTGCGATCTGATCAGGATCCATGCTGTTCGCTTACAAACCGTATAACAAGTAGAGAAACTGATAGCGAACAGCATGGATCCTGATCAGACTGCGCGGAGGCGCAGGCTGGTCTGGATCCATGCTGGTCGCAAACCCACTATGTTGGTTTTGTCGTGACACGGCTCAATTATTTTTGTTTCCTTGCCACTGTACGTTCGAAATCCACAAGAGGCTTTGAATTCTTTTATATGAAGCTATCCAGGTACTTTATGGAATGTCTGTTATCTTGCTTTATGAAAATATAACTACAGTCACAAGTAAAGCAGGAAAGATACAGTATGAAGCAAGGAAATTGCATAATGACTGACAGTTGTTGGGTTTACTTCACTACCATTTGTATTCCCCACACACCCATCCACCCCTCCCCTCCCAAGTTGTTTAATAAAGATTTACAATTGCCAAATTGTAGTCATCCATGAAAATTGTCATTGACTTATGACTTTGAAAAACAGAGCTTGAGTTATAAATTACAAAGCATTTGGACATTTAACTAATGCATTATTGTACTGAAGTGCAATGAAAAGGGATATTTATTTCCACATAACATGTTCATGGAAAGGAATTCAGTAGCAATATGTTGATCTACATTGATTGGAGAAGTTTTTTTGTATGACATCATGAGTTTTGTGACATCACATCTGATGTCATTTGATTTGTAAACATTCTATACCTCATAAAGTGTATTTTTAGCTTGGGTTTTTGAAGAATTGAGAGAGCTATTACTCTCACTCCAACTTTGGCATCAGCGTCACACTTTGGTTAAGTTTTTTGCCTGCAAGTTGGTATCGCAAAAAGTACCGAAGGGTATAAGTTGAAACTTCACACACTTATTTGAGAGCATAATAGGAACTAGCAAATTTTGATTCTGTATGACATTAGCATTATTCTATATAACACTAGCATTATTCTATATAACACTAGCATTATTCTATATAACACTAGCATCATTCTATTGTTTCTTTCTTTCAGGCATTATCATGTTTAGTACAGATAGCATCTGTGAGACGTTCATTGTTTAACAATGCCGAGCGTGCCAAGTTTCTCAATCACATAGTGACTGGTGTAAAAGACATTTTAGAAAACCCGCAAATGCAGGGCTTGTCTGATCCTAGTAATTATCACGAGTTCTGTAGATTACTGGCACGGCTGAAGTCGAACTATCAGCTGGGAGAGTTAGTGAAAGTAGACAACTATCAAACAGTGATAAAACTTATAGCAGAATTTACTGTGACTAGTTTACAGGTAATAGATATTGATAAATATTGTGTAGGCCCAGTGATTTTTTTTCTCCATTTTATACAGCAGAATAAAGGCTGTTTTCCCTAGCCCAAATAGGTATATTTTCCCCTAAAAATGCTATATTTTCCTCTGAAATGCCCTTGTAAACAGTCTGTCTAGAACAGTGACTTAAAAGCAGCTTTTAATATCAGCTAGTTGATAGATTAAATTGACGGAAAGACAGAAAGCTGTCTCTATAGATAGCCACTGCTATGTACCTTGCATGTTAAATTGAAATTGAAATCAAATCTTTTATAAAATGTGTGGCTAAATTCCATTCTCAGTTGTTGGAATTGATTTAAGTTTTTTCCCCTTTTGATTTATTGTGCTACATTTTCCCCTTCAGAAAGCCACAGGTTTTTTTGAAAATTGAAAAAAGAAAATGACTGAACTACAAAAAATACTTTCTTAGATGTTTCTTGAAAATATTTTGTTATATGTCAATGTCTGTTTGTTTAGTCCTGATTTAATCTATAATGGATATTTTATTTTGGTGTTCTGGACTAATTTTCTTGTATTTTTTGTTTAAAAAAACAAAGCTTGATAAGACACACTTGTGAAGTTATATCTGGATCATTTGTATAAGTCCTAATCTTCAACGATTTGTATAATGGACTCACCCATCCAAGTTTTTTCCCCACCACTTGATGAAATAAATCCTGTATTTATAGAAAAAAACTTGAATATCCTCGATGTATTTCAGATGTGGCAGTTTGCGCCCAACAGTGTTCATTATTTACTAAGTCTATGGCAAAGAATGGTTGCATCAGTACCCTATGTGAAGGCAACAGAACCACACATGTTAGAAACATATACTCCTGAAGTTACCAAAGCTTATATCACGTCTAGATTAGAATCTGTACATGTAGTTGTCAGGTACGTAAACAACGTTTCGATTGACCCTGGGTTCCTGCATTCTTTTGTGCAAAATTTTTGTATTTCAAAGAACTGAAATAGCCTCTTTATTTTGAGAAAAAAAATTTGCTACAGTTACCAATTTGGGAAGTAAAAAGTTGGTGTAAGACAGATATTGGGAAAGCATGATTTTAAAGAAAATTTCAATTGGGAAGAGGTCTTTTATAGGCCTCTGTTTTTAAGGAGGAAAATCACTGTTGAAAGAAGAAAAAATGAAGAGAAACGAAAAAAAGAAAACAAATTAAAAAGTACTAATTATTACTGTTAAGTATGATACGAAATAACTTATACATTACAGAGACGGATTAGAAGATCCACTAGATGATCATGGTGTAATATCTCAACAACTGGAACAGGTAATTTTACTCGTTGTATGAGCCACGTCACAGTAAAACCAACCTAGTGCGTTTTCGACCAGCATGGATCCAGACTAGCCTGCACAGCAGTCTGATCAGGATCCATGCTGTTGGTTATTATTTCTCTACTTGTAAAAGAGTTTGTAAGCGAACAGCATGGATCCTGATCAGACTGTGGGGATGAGCAGGTTGGTCTGGATCCTTGCTGGTCGCAAACGCACTATGTTGGTTTTGTCATGAAGCGGCTCATATCCTACATGCAAATCTGTGCTTAACAACATACAATATCCTGGAAAGGTTTTGTTGTCAGTTTAAAAGATGCAATTTTATCTTTGGTCTTCCTCCACCAGTAAAGCTGGAACATCGCCTTATGACCTAAACTGTTTCCATATGATGTAAAACCTAATCAAAGAAACAAAAGATGCAAGTTTTCAGTATTCCGCATAAACTATTTGCAAAATGTAGTTAACAAATGTTCTTCGGTGAATTGTGAAAGCTCAATGGCTCTGTTATGAATATTCAACTTTCTAAAGTGTAGGGCCTATAAAGTCTTGACTTTACTTGACTTAACAAGAAGTAAGATTGGGAGACCATCCTAATTCGAACATTCTGTTGACCGCTCGATTTTAGCATTTTTCTGTTAAAAACTTTGAATTCATATTGGACTGTTCCAGTTTTGATAGAGGGCGAAATCCATTACAGGCGTGTTCAGGGGTTGGGAGTGAATTACGATTGTTTTTTTTAATTTAAAAAATTCCCCCAAAGCCGCCCCCCCCCGCTTGTTTTCCCCCCTAGCAAATTGGGTCGGGTGGTGAGTAATGATAAAACATGTGGCGTTACTCGTACGATTGTTTGACGAGTCGGCACAGAGATACCAGGAATTAATTTCGTCATCAGGAACACAGAGTGCGGACATTGCTGTCCAAGAAGGTACATTGTACATCGATTTTGTAGTTTTCTCAAATTGATGTTAATTTTAAAAGACTAGAATGATTTGAAATTTTGTAGTTCTTAAAATAAGGAACTATATTAAAATTGTATTGGATTAAAACATTTTGGTTTACATTTCCTAAGAAAGTACATTATAGGATTGTTTAAATACTGCATATTTCATTGCAGGTTGTTATTAAACATCTTTCAACATTAAAAAGGTAGAGCTATCCAAAATGTTTGATCGGGAGCATTCCCAAAACCACTTTGACCCCTCACCGTTTTGTGGGGTTCGAATCCCGATAGGGACTTTGGACTCTTTCATGTGAGGAAGCTTCCAGCCTTACTTTACGGAAACGTCGATGTGGTTTCTTACACAGGTGGGCCCGTTTTGTGCCTGAAATAAATGCACAGAAAAGGGCAACGCTGAGGTCTTCCTCCACCAGTAAAGCTGGAACGTCACGATACGACCTATACTGTGTTGATGTGATGAAAAGTCCTATCAAACAAACAAGGTAGCATAATTATATATATATATTTCAGGGCGTTTAACGTGGCTTGTGTACATCATAGGCTCGGTGATAGGTGGTCGTGTAGCGTTTGCTAGTACAGATGAACATGATGCCATGGATGGGGAATTAGTATGCAGGTCAGAGACTCGATGCTTTTTTCTCATTAGAAATTTAGCAAGTCTAATAATATGTATTAAATATAAAATGTTATGTATTTCCTTTCTAAAGATACTGTTCAATTTCTAAATGGACTTGTGCAAATTGATTAATGGCTGATTAGAACCATAATTTCTTTAAACTCCCCTTGATGATATCGCTGTAATTGATGTACTTTGTTAGCTCGACTATTCCATAAGAATAAGTAGAGCTATTGTAGTCACCCGAGCGTCGGCGTAACCACTTATGTTAAAGTTTTTGTAATAGTTCAAATATTTTCAAAGTCCATTGACATATGGCTTTGAAACTTTGCACACTTGTTCACCATCATGACCCCAACCTGTAGACAGGGGGGAGTACTGTATCAAGCATTTTGACAGAATTATGCCCCCTTTTTTCGACTTTTTTTTTTTTTTTTAAAAGAATTTAAATTTTTTTTTAAAAAAAAAAAAAAAAAAATAAAAAAAAAAACTTTTTTAAAGTTTTTAAAATTTTTGTAATTCCTCAAATATTTTCAAAGTCCATTGACATATGGCTTTGAAACTTTGCACACTTGTTCACCATCATGACCCCAACCTGTAGACAGGAGGAGGTACCTGTATCAAGCATTTTGACAGAATTATGCCCCCTTTTTTGAACTTAGAATTTATGTTAAAGTTTTTGTAATTCCTCAAATATTTTCAAAGTCCATTGACATATGGCTTTGAAACTTTGCACACTTGTTCACCATCATGACCCCAACCTGTAGACAGGAGGAGGTAACTCTATCAAGCATTTTGACAGAATTATGCCCCTTTTTTGACTTAGGAGGTAACTGTATCAAGCATTTTTTTACTATCAAGCACTAAGAATAGTCCAGCGTTGCTGTCCTACCGACAGCTCTTGTTTTAATTCATAGTCTGCTGATAGCAACAGTTTTTACCCATGCGACCAGTGCAGACCAAGATTAGCTGTCTAATCATGGTCTGTACTGTTTACTATTTAGTCAGTACGTATTTTGAAACTTTCCATAAAAAAAATGATAAAAGGGTTAAATTCACAGCAGGTTAAACAGTGAGAGTCGCAATGTAATTGGTTTACATTTTATGTTATTTAAGGACAAATATATTTACCATAAAATGTGTTGCTATTTTTACAGGGTATTACAGCTGATGAATCTAACAGATTCTAGGTTATCACAGAGTGGCTGTGAGAAGTTAGATCTGGCAATCCTCAGCTTCTTCGAACAATTCAAAAAGATTTATGTCGGTGACCAAGTGCAGAAATCTTCAAAGGTATGACACTGTTTACTATACATTCATTTATAATGTTGTATGGTCTAAAATGTGAAGATATTGTTGTGCCAAGCTTGCTAAGATGATACTGGCCTTCAGGGTCAGAGGTTATAAAAAAATCCTCTAAACTCAAACTCAAATCTCAGGCATTTGCTTGGTCAGAAACTTCCATAGAATGTCCAATGACCAATGAAAATCCTGGGATTTGAGACAGAACTTTGGAAAAAAGTTTTATAACTCAAAGCTAGGTTAAAAATAATTTGTTTTGTTCTGAATTCTGTCACAATTATCTGAGTTTTCATTGGTCAGTGAGCATTCTGAGGCAGTTTTTGACTAATCAAATACATAGATTTGAGTTTGAGTTTAGATGATTTTCTTTATAATCTTGGACCCTAGTTTGTCTAATGAATTTGTGTTCATGTTTTCAAGCCTAAGAAGTAAAGGGGGGGGGGGGGGAATGAAAGACATATTTTTCAAGAACAGAGCCAGACTAGTCATTTTCAAGGTCAGTTTGACCATAATTCATTGTTGACTGCTTATCCTTGTTTATCTGCCATTCCGCACAATAGGTAGCGCATCGGATTCGTAATCCAGGTGCCACTGGTACAGTTCTTGTTAAAGCGAAATTTCACCCATGTTATTTGATCTTGGACATTTAGTCTTATAGATAGTGATCACTAGATTACTAGTCTGATGCGTTAACCACTCATGTATGTGTATAATTTCTTGTATTTTGCAGGTTTACAGACGTCTTTCAGAAGTTCTTGGATTAAATGATGAATCTATGGTACTGAGTGTGTTCATTGGAAAAATGTAAGTTTCTTATTAGCTCTAGTACCTTTAAAATGTATATATTTCCATTTCTTAGTAATGGTTTTTTATGTGCTAAAAGAGTCACCTTTGGAAACCCTGTTAAAGGCCACATAATTATGTTCATAATTCTTATAGACAGAGAAACTGACTTACATGAATGACATTTTGTCTATTGATGTCAATAGAATGTATTGTGTTTATGATGTTGTGTATTTTGTTTTACATTTTAGAATCACAAATTTGAAGTTTTGGGGACGAAGTGAACAGATAATATCAAAAACGCTGCAGTTACTCAGTGACTTGTCGGTGGGATATAGTAGCGTTAGAAAACTAGTCAAGTTAGAAGCTGTCCAGTTTATGCTCAATAATCATACTGTAAGTTCTTAATGCTTATACCAGTAAATTTCTAAAATGGACTGATCTCCCTTGTTTGCCTTTGAGTTTACCAGTTAACTTATAAAAAGGACTTATCCCCCTTGAATGCCTTTGAGTTTACCAGTTAACTTATAAAATGGACTTATCCCCCTTGAATGCCTTTAAATTTACCACTAAACTTATAAAATGGACTTATCACCCGCACCCCCCATCCCCGTTTGCCTTCGAATTTACAACTTAACTTTTAAAATGATGAAATTGTTTGCCTTCGAATTTACAATTAAACTTATAAAATGGACTTGTTTGCCTTGAATTTACCACTAAACTTATAAAATGGACTTGTTTGCCTTTGAATTTACAACTTATTCACCCTGTTTTCCTTGAAATTTACCACTAAACTTATAAAATGGACTAATCCCCATTGTTTGCCTTTGAATTTACCACTTAACTTATAAAATGGACTAATCCCCATTGTTTGCCTTTGATTTTACCCCTAAACTTAAAAAATGGACAAATCCTCCTTGTTTGCTTTTGAATTTGCCACTAAAATCATAAAATGGACTTGTTTGCCTTTGAATTTCATTCACTCATAAGAGTTTGATTACCAAATTGATGATTTTGTGTAACTCTTTGTATAAAATCTTGTGAAATTATAGCCAATATTTCCACGTTGCTAACTTAACCACTTATACAGTATTTGATGTAAGAAAATAGATTTTACCTAAATTTGTTTTCTCACTCTGTATCAATCACTGTGTATAACCTGTACTTGTTTTCTTTTACAGAGCGATCATTTTCCATTCCTTGGTATCAATGCTGGTAACAGTCCAATGACAGATATGCGATGTAGAACAACATTCTATATCGCACTTGGCAGACTGTTAATGGTGGATCTTGGAGAAGATGAAGAGAGATTTGAACAATTTATGATGCCTTTAGCTGGTATGTGGCCCCGCCTATCTGTATATTTTAAGATTGTTTTCTATATTGTGACATTTAATATAGACATTTTGTGTGTTAGTATGTAAAAGGTATGGGTGTTGTTTCTTGTTGAGTTAAGGTCAAATAAATTTAGGCTTAAATTGATGTCAGCACTATTAAGTGTTGAGAATTGAGTACCGCTCAAGCCGGTGCTAGGGGGGCGTGAGGGATGTTGCACTTGTTCATTATCCCTCATGTACAAATACAATCAAACACAGTCTGCAATTCTTATGTAATTTTGTTGTGATTAATGCTTCCGAGGGATCACTGTTTCCAGATTATTAAAATAGAATCTCTTACTTAAACTTGGCCTAAAAAATGGATTTCTTAATATCACTAATGGTAAGACACCGATGTCCTGTAAGCCTGCTGGAACGCTTCCTCACATGAAAGAATCCAAAGTCCCTTTCAATTTGAACACAAAGCGATGAGGAGCAAGTGGTAGATGAATTTATCTATTCCCTTTAATGAAGGGAGCATTTATTAGTGTTAATGAAGGGAGCATTTATTAATGAAGGGAGCATTTATTTGTGTAGATAAAGGGAGCATTTATTAGTGTTAATGAAGGGAGAGCATTTATTAGTGTAATGAAAAGAGCATTTATTAGTGTTAATGAAGGGGGAGCAGTTATAAGTGTAATGAAGAGAGCATTTATTAGCTTTGATAAAGGGAGCATTTATTAGTGTAATGATGAGAGCATTTATTAATGAAGATAGCATTTATTAGCTTTGATAAAGTGAGTATTCATTAGTGTAATGATGAGAGCATTTATTAATGAAGGGAGCATTTATTAGCTTTGATAAAGGGAGCATTTATTAGTGTAATGATGAGAGCATTTATTAATGAAGGGAGCATTTATAAGTTTAATGAAGGGGAGCCTTAATTAGTGTTAATGGAGGATTCATTAGTGTTAACGGAGGGAGCATTTATTAGTGTTGATGAAGGAATTAAATTTTCCCAAAGTAGTACTTCATTAATCTCACAAGAGCTTCACCTCTCTGCAACAACCAAAGTCTTTGCCTCTCAAGTGTGTTGCTCTGCATATAATATTTCTAACATGTTTTGATATTTTATATTTGTTGCTTTCAGTATTTGATAAAGTGAACAATATGCTTGCCAATGCAGATACACCAATCAAAGTAGAGGAAGCAAAAGTAAGTGTTTGTTTCAAGTATGAAATATATATTACCTTGATCAATAGCAATCAGAAACAAAAAGAAAAATGAATAGTAAATAAATAGGTTTTACATATTTTGTGAACAAAGACTATGATTATTTAAGTAAATTAAATGATTTTTATTGAAGAATGAAAATGGTTTTGTCCTTAAAATCTTAAATAACTGACGTGATGTGATGCCCTGATTTTGGCATATTACTGTATTTTTTCAGAGATCTCTGATTGGTTTAGCTCGTGATTTACGTGGAGTAGCGTTTGCATTTAACACAAAGACTAGCTACATGTTATTATTTGATTGGCTGTATCCAAACTACACGCCGGTCTTACATCGTGCAATAGAAATCTGGTACAACGAGCCCAGTGTTACAACACCTGTACTGAAACTAATGGCAGAACTAGCCCAGAGTAGGTAAGGGAAAATACAGAATATAAATATATCAGTCTTCAACATTTGTGCATTTGATGAAAAGGGATATTATTTTACAAATGGTCTTGTCAGTCTACTCGGTACAATGTGAGCATTGTATAAGTATACAGGTGTGGCTGTATCAAACCTTGGGCCAGACATAAAAAAAGTTTCGTAACAATTTATTGGTCTCGGACAGTTGGGCTTATGATCTTTTGTTTCTTGCTAGTGACTCAGGAATCATGTGGGATAAGTAAGTTTGGTCACTTTTTGAGAAGTTGGTAATTACTGGATTGACTGTCGAGATAGGGTCATAACATATTGAAAGGAGCATAAGACCCCAAAAAAATGCATTACCATACGAGACCATGTCAATTTGATTGCATCAGACTTTATAGTAAATAAATAATCTGTCCGTGCAATTAATCTATTTTGGCAAGTTGGATAAATCCTGCCAAGTCTTACCTTGATTATAAGATTTTGTGAAAGGGTCTCTAAAGTAGTAGTTTCGCTGGAATTTTTCATGCAAGGTACCTGTAGAAAAAAAAACATGTGGATTTTTCTATACATACCTATGTTCATATGAGTTTATATTTAATGAGCAACGTGAATGAATATTGTTGAAAATTTACAGACTAAATCATGTATATTTACAGAGCTCAGAGACTTCAGTTTGATGTTTCCTCACCAAATGGCATCTTACTATTCAGGGAAGTTAGTAAAATGATAGTTAGTTATGGTATGTGAACACTTCTTTTTTTTATCTCATTTTAATACTACATATCAAAAGTATAACTTAGGTCAAGCTACAATGACAACCATACAGGCAGTCCATATTAGTGCAGTTCTGTATTCTTCCTCATTGATTTTACATTTGTTTTATTAGATAATATTCACAATTTTCCTGTTTAAACAATGGAGAGATGGCTAATGAATGTACAGCTACTAAATGCTCAGAAGTTGACAAACTATATCATCTAGAGTAAAAGTTTCTTTGTGACGAAAGTTGTTATGATTGCTTCTTCAAATCATTTGAGCAGAGCCACGACAAAACCAACATAGTGCGTTTGCGACCAGCATGCATCCAGACCAGCCTGCGCATCCGCGCAGTCCGATCAGGATCCATGCTTTCCCCTATCAACCCTTATACAAGTAGGGAAAATGATAGCGAACAGCATGGATCCTGATCAGACTGTGTGGATGCGCAGGCTGGCCTGGATCCATGCTGGTCGCAAACGCACTATTTTGGTTTTGTCGTGACGCGGCTCAATTTTGCTTTTTCCAAGAGTGTAGTTAACAATGTCATTTCTCAATATAGCCAGTAAGGAATGTTAACCATTTCATTGCTGGAATCGAAAGCAATCAGCTTTTGCAGTCTGACAAGGCTCTATACTTTGGCTGACCCACTTTTCATCAAGTTTTCATCTTAAAATCTATAAAATTGATTATAAAAAGTTCCAAAAATGGAAGTTGGACAAGTCTTTTAAAAGTTTTCAGCAGGTAAAGGGTTTAAGAAAATACCAAAGCTAGCCGGATGGCTAAAGACAAATTTTTGTTGCGAATTTTAGCAAAATACATAACCTCTGTCTCCTTCCTTTATCAATGTATGAGTGCTATAGAATATTGCAGGCTGAAAATTATTTGTTTGCTTACATATTGTTTTCTTATTTCAGGGTCCAGAATATTAACTCTTGGAGAAATCCCAAAGGATCGAATTTATCCAATGAAATATCCTTTATAATAGTTGATTGGATTCTACACATTAGATTTACCTCTTGTAACTTTATCTTAGTGAGAGAGAGAAAAAAATTAGTCTCAAAATGGAGTCACTTTCATTGGTCAATATTTTGTTTTTTAAATCAATGTGTTTCTGGTTAAGACATCAATGTTTACGATCCTTGGACATGATTTTCAATCCAGATTGACACTGTTCACATTAATGTGCGGGGAAAAAAAATTTTTTTTACTTAAGAATTGGGTCCAAAGTGAAAGTAGGCCAAAATTCATATAACAACAAAGCTCAAAATGTAAAATGATTGACCATTTGAAAATACACTTCCAGGTCTATGTTTTAAGGACTATTGTTAACAAATATAAAAATGTTAACAATAAGAATATTTATCTTAAATGTGTGAAAATTCAAAACAAATTAAAATGTTTTGCAAATTTTTATGCATATTTCATGAATGCTGAAGAAAGTAGCAAAGAATGTGAAATTATTTTTTTTATAAAGGTACCAAAATGTTAATAAAGTAGTATTTATGACTTCCATACAAAATACTAAATAGCTATAACTGTCAAAAAAATATATAAAAAACCATCAGAATCAAAAGATGGTTTAGGTATTTTTGGAAAGCATTTTTGGAGCATAAAGGGCCTTTAAAGTTGTATGTTATAATATAAACAATCATATTTTATAATATGAACATAATCATATTATTAAGTTTGGTCTATTGCTTCGTTTGTCTGTTTCATGTTATACAATTAGAGCCATAGCTGTTGGTTTAGTATTCATTGTCAAAATAGATTCCTTAACCATTGGTACATTAAAAGGTATATCAATATGTTTTTCAATGTTACGAGCAGCTCTATGTGGTAACTATGTCAATTTTGGTGTGTTCCGTCTCTATGGTGATGACGCCCTAGACAACGCACTTGCTGTCTTTGTCAAGTTACTCCTTTCCATTTCACAGACTGATTTACTGGTAAGTTTAACATACTTAAATAATAACGTGTTTAAGGCGTTGCGGAAAGTTATGTGTTTGTATTTTAGAGAGTTCATCATCAACATAATTATAAAAATATGTATGCTTTTGTGACATGCAAATCAAAGTTTTATTACTGTAAAACTAAATTCTTCAGTTTTGTCAAAGTTAGTATAGCATTTGTCTTTAGTTCTATTGCATATGAAGCTTTTGGTGTTTTAAGAAATTATTTTTAGTTTGATTGTGCAGGAAGCTTAAAGTTTATAGACACACTCTTGAAACAAGTACTGAGCAATGAGTATAGTTTCTTGCTCAAGGAAACAATGGTTTGCCCCTGACTAGGTTTAAACCCCCACAGAAATCAATCGTTAGATCTATAATCCGGTGCCATGCCGCCACTAATGTATGACGCTTATAAGGCACACTGGAATCTGTTCCTGTAATGAACTAGTACTAAGCAATCATTGTAAAGTTTCTTGCTCAAACAATAACTGAACATGTTTAAAAAATGCCTCTTTTTGATTGCAGGATTACCCGAAGCTGAGTCAGAACTACTATGGTTTACTAGAAAGTCTCGCCCAAGATCATATGACATTTATCAGTAATTTAGAACCTCAGGTGTTTCTCTATATACTCTCAACCATTTCAGAAGGTCTTACTGCACTAGGTATGTACAAGTTTTAACCCTTTACCGGCTGATTGGACTTGCCGATTACCATGTTTAAAATGTTAATAAGGTTGTTACTAAACAAAATAAATTGTAATAATACATTAAATAAGTATCGTATCACACCTGTGGGTGAAAGAAGGAAATGTTCACCTCAGATAAGTAATGTCGACTGATGCTTTAGTCGTGGTTAACTTTACCTTGTCAAGGATGAACGTGTTGATGAATTACCCTCGGTGGGATATGATAATTATTTCATTATTCCATTAAAAAAAATCTTAATCATAGTAACTTATAATAAAATGTGTCACCTGGTATGTGCACGAAAGCTGTTAGATAATGTTAGCTGGCCAAAACGTGATGCTGTCATATGACATTACATCGTGTAACCCTCTGACATCACATAAGGCTATATAATAAATAAATCGCATGAGATATATTAAAATATATTGTTGTTTCAGATACGATGGTATGCACAGGTTGTTGTGCTACACTAGACAACATTATAACTTACTTGTTTAGAAAATTAACGAGTAAGAAAAAGAAGAGTTCAGCCAGCAATTTGCCTGATAGCGAAGCATTCCTGAGAATCCTAGAATTACATCCTGAAATATTGCAACAGGTAATTACGAAACATTTTTATCGCACCTCTCTGGGGCATAAGTAATGTTACGGTTTTGTTCATTCACAATAATTGATGGTTTCTAAAGTGGTAAGTGGCTATTGAAACAATAAGTAGGGTGTGTGGCTTAGTAGTTATGGTCTACCTCAAACCACTTGCCCCTCATTGCTGTTGGTTTGAATACCACCAGGAACTTCAGATTCTTCCTTGTGACAAAACTATCCAGCTAGATTATGGAATGTCTGTTGTTGTAGTCAGGTGCCCATTTGCGACTTAAATAATGCATGGAGGGGCACCTGAGGTCTTCATTAAAGCTGGAAAGTTGCCATATTACCATTACAGTGTTTGTGATGTAAAAGTCAACCAAAAACATTTGTGTACAGATTAGTTAGGACTTTCCATCCTTTCCATTACAAATAGTGTTGTTTCACATTTATTAACTGATATCGTAGTATATAAATATGACTTTTAGTGGTGCACATAACTAATACCTATCATGGACATCTGTCCTTGGCTGGGGCATCATGTCAGGGTCACTTCTCAATTTATAATTTCACAAATTGATTCAGAAACATTTGATGATGTATTTTGCTGATAGAAATCTTCAATATGTTTTTAGACTTGCGATTTTAATTGACAATTTTTTGTAAGTTTTGTGAAACCAGTTGTCAATTTGTTGTCATTTAGATATACGATTGAGCCGTGTCACGACAAAACCAACATAGTGGGTTTGCGACCAGCATGGATCCAGACCAGCCTGCGCATCCTCGCAGTCTGATCAGGATCCATGCTGTTCGCTATCAGATTCTCTTCTTGTAATAGGGTTTGTAAGCGACCAGCATGGATCCTGATCAGACTGCGCGAATGCGCAGTCTGGTCTGGATCCATGCTGGTCGCAAACACACTATGTTGGTTTTGTCGTGACGCGGCTCAATTATTTTTCTGTTTCAGATGTTACAGACTGTGTTAAACATTATTATGTTTGAAGACTGCCGTAACCAATGGTCAATGTCAAGGCCGCTGTTGGGTCTTATTCTTCTAAATGAGGAGGTATAGAATTGTCTTTCCTGTAGACTTGATAACCATGTTTAAACCCTAGCCTGATGAATTTCTTAAATGGGCATGTATGGCTGACATTTTTCGAACTCTTTTATTATCAACTTATAGGATAAAAATTTGAAGTTGGTCAGCCAACAGTATAGAGCCTTGGAAAATCGCACAGAAGTGCAGTGGCCTGGCTTTACTCCGGTGGAAGCACATCTGTTTCTAGCAGGTTAAGGGATAACCCCTTAATATAAAGTTTTGTATAATTTTGTAAACAATTTTGTATTTTTGAGTAAAGTAATTTTATCTGATATATTAATATGACCCTTGACTTAGGGTTTTTTACATCCTTTCCTTTGTTACTAATTTGTAAACTGAAGAAGCCTGTTAGTGCGAAAACTGTCTTGACATTTCAGACTCTGTTGCTTTTTGAAATTATTCACTATACTGTCTTTGAAATGAAATAAGAGCCGTGTCACGACAAAACCAACATAATGGGTTTGCGACCAGCATGGATCCAGACCAGCCTGCGCATCTGCGCAGTCGCAGTCTGATCACGATCCATGCTGTTCACTTACAAACCCTATAACAAGTAGAAAAACTGATAGCGAACAGCATGGATCCTGATCAGACTGCGCAGGCTGGTCTGGATCTATGCTGGTCGCAAACCCATTATGTTGGTTTTGTCATGACGTGGCTCAATTATTTGTTAATTTTATTTCAGTATTTTAACAAGTTACGAGAGAGTATAATCTCCAGTCAGCCGCAGGATAAACAACCAACTATGGCCCAGTGCTTTGATAGTCTCATGGAAGGCATTGAGCGATCATTGGTCACCAAGAACCGAGATCGGTGGGTAGATAAATGGAAAATGTACCAAGTTTTTAATGTTGTTTTAATACACTCTAACCCTTTGATTAAAGATGAGTTCAAAAAAAGTAATCTAAAGTTATGACAATGTTACATCTAGTTATGAATTACGTTTCACAAATCATTCTTTCATTGTTTATAATTGTTTACTTTTGTAACTGGTAAATAAAGGCCTGTAAAGGCTTGAAAAATAAAGGCTAGGAAAATTCATAAGATTATACTTACAATCAAACCTGTGCAAAAATCCACCTCCAATAAAGCCCACCATGTAAATAAAGACCATTTTTGACAAATCTTCAGTTTTAAAAATACAACAGAGTAATCTGAGTATGAGGTTATTGGATTATTGTTTTGAATTACTCATAAAAAGTTATTACAACCAAAGCATGCTGTTGATTTAATTTTTCAGATTCACACAGAATTTGTCCCTGTTCAGACGAGACGTAAATGACTCTTTAAAAGCAACCGGTAACAACAGTCCTTCAACCTCACAGTCATCCCTGGATATGATGAACTTGTAGCATAAACTGATGTCTAAAGTCGTCGTTATCATCCGGAACAGCGCAGCAACACGCACTTCCCCTAGTATACATACACGTAGTTTGAACTATTCACACTGCCTATATGTCCAGCTTGGAATCATCAGCATCATTTCACGTGATGAAATTACCAGTGATCTCGTCATTAAAGAAATCATCACAATCATCTTGTTCACCCTACAAATCATTACCATTATAAATTGTTGTTTCATGGCATCATTGTAGAGCTTTGATGTCATAGTGTCACTTTATGACATCATCGTTGAGTTATGATGATGTAATGTTGTTTGCATTTTGGACCTTGTTTGCCAAGTTGTAATGTCATATTGTTGCTTTATGACCTAATTGTTTAATTGTGATGTCATAGTTTTGCTCTATGGCCTCATTGCCAAGTTAAGATGCCATTTAATAGCATTATGACCTCTTTGTCAGATAAATACTTTATGACATCAAAGGCTTGTTGTGATGTAATATTATTGGTTTATGACCTCACAGGCAAGTTGTTACGCATATTGTTACTTAATGACATTCAGATAAAGTTATGATGTCATATTGTTGCTCTATGGTCTCCTTGCCAAGTTGTGATGTAATATGGAGGCCTTATGACATCATAAGCAAGTTATGATGTCATATTTTGTTTTATGACCTCATTGCCAAGTGGTGATGTCATTTTGTCATTTCACAGGCAAATTGTTATGTCATATTGTGGCTTTATGATTTCTTGGTCAAGGTTAATTTTCATACTGAGGCTTTATGACATCATTGTTCATGTCGTTTTGTTTTGACATCATTGTCAGATTGTGATGTCATCTTGTGTCATGGTATAATTGTCAAGTTGTGATGTCACATTATGACATCATTGTGTATCCGCCATGAAGAGATTTTCTCATTTTTACTTTTGGTGCATTTTTTGGAGACTTCAGAGTTCATAGGATTGGACCAAAGTGGATGGAACATACACAAACTTTTTTTATTTTGGACATGGGCTCAATATAATTGAAGTCGGGGGTCAATGGTTAAAAAAATTGTTCTGAAGATTTGTCATTGGTTAGTTTTGAAATCTGTGTTTGTAATTAGACCAATCAGATACTTCTGTTTTAAACAGGTATTTTTAAATTATGTGTTTTTGTAGTTTAATATATGGGAAAATGGTGAATGGTTACTACAGAACTTTAGGATTATAATATCAACACAGTGCAGGAACAGGTTAACTCCTTACATAATTAAATAGGAGTAAACCTGTTACTGCACTACAGTGATGATATGTGACTGGAACTTTCTCTAGGAAGAAGTGACAATAAATCTATATGAATATAGACACAAAAATACATTGTAGCTACTGTATCAATTATTTTCTCTGTTTTAGGTCAATTGAATTACTGATGCATGCATGATTGTGCGGACAGTTGATTTGATTGAGTATAAAAAGTTAATACATGATTGTGTCTTATTGTTTGATATACATGTAGATATAGAAAGGAATCGGGATGAAGTTAAATTTCTGATTTTGTTTGTGTAAACAATGAATGGTGCAATTAATGTTATATACATGTACTTCGATGTGAATAACGACCTTAAGTCCTGTTTGTTTTTGTAAATATTTTTTGATACTTTGTAAATGAAATAATCGAATTGTGTTTTAAAGAAAATGTTAGAAATTTTCAAACGTGATTTCTTGTGGTACATTTAGTACATGATTTAGGATTTTGAATCTTTTGAATGCTACAACCAAAAGTAAACCAGAGTCGTTTCCACCAGGATATAGCTGGGCCAGTCTGCAGTTGATGGGACTGTGGACTGATTTGCGACCTGCTTCAAATTATCAGCTTGGTATCCCTAAAATTGATAATGGACAATGCCAAGAATAGAAACCGGACAAGTCCATTTTAAAAATTCCTACGGGATAAGGAAAAAAAGCAAATGTTATTTTCAGTTTTAAATTTGATTTTCTTGAAATATTTTGGTTCATATGGAGGCATACAGCATTAGTATTCTGGTGGAATGTATCTTTTAAGATTGTTATTACTGATCGTAGTGTTTATAGTATATCTGGTCATTAAAATATAATGGAAATATAGACAAGATTTTGACCATTAATGATTATACAAAACTTTACTGTTACATGAAATTTTTATGATATTCTATTTGTTATAAGATGGTTTGTTCGATCAATTTTATAGAAGGGACTTCACATTTCTTTAAAAGGTTAATGTTTTAAACCTATAGGCAAAATACTGGAACAAATTTAAACATTTATCTACTTAGCTTATTTGTAAATCAGATATATTTATCCAGTGCCTGTAAAGAAAAATTGTTGAATTTGTTTTGTTTGTTTAACCCTTTAAAAAATTACTTTTTTTATTCTGTTTGTGTGAAGATGCCCCACATAATCAAGGGTATAGAGTAATAACATGTTTTAGGCAGCCAGGTTTTTTACCTGTACCTTACATTTTGTGAAATATCTATATGCAAGTAACTTTCGGTAAGTTAAGTTATACGAATTAATGCTTCCCTGAAAGGGTTAATTCTACCCCCATTTAAACGTGTAGTTGTTGGTTTAATGTTTAAATTGAGCCGCGTCACGAAAAACCAACAAAAGTGCTTTGCGCCAGCTGACCCAGCCCCCTGGCATCCGCGCATTTGGGTAGGATCCTTGCTGCGCTTTATTTACTCTTTGTAAGGGTTGGTAAGCTAACAGCAGGGATCTATCAGATGTGCTGACAGCGGGTTGGATCCATGTGCGCAACCCTTTTTTTGGTTTTTGCATGACACGGTAAATTTACCCCTTAGACTCTTTTAATTTTTGTGCTAAAATTTTAAATTAAAAGTGCTACATATTTAACTGTTTTACATAATGTGCTATCTTTTATTTTTCCAAAAGAAATATTATACGTGTATTATGAATGTGCTATGTAATTACCAATTATTTTTGTTATTTTAAGGGGGTTGTTCAGAAAATTGAGTCAGAAAATTTCTCGACTGATAAAAATAAATCTTGAAAATTTCCAAAAGTCTTCTGCCGACCATTTTTGGTCTTTTGCAAGGACAATCTTAATCTGAAACTCGAAGGCTTTTCTCCATTTGTTCCTAATTAAAAAAAAACCACAACCAGGTGCCATATCAAAAAAAAAATTAGAGCTTTGTTACTTTCGTTAGCCATGTTAATGTGATTTTGTTATATGGCTGAAATAATTGGTGGGGTCATTTGGCCCATTAGACTGTTCATTTTCAAAATTACTTGCTTTCTACTACACACACCTTATTTTCACCCTTTACCTTTTGGAATGGACTGGTGCTTAGCTTTTTTCCAGCAGTCCAGTACCGGTCTAGCCAAACCTGAAATGGACTGGTGCGCAGCTTTTACCAGCAGTCAAGAGACCCAAGAACCAGTCTAGCCTGGACATCAATGCAGTCTGCCCAGGATCTGTCTATATTGTTCATTCGTATTTTGATATTGAAATCCCAAAATTTTTTAATAGTGTTCCCATTTAAAAGCGGGGGAAAATCTTTACCCGAAAAGGGGTTTAAAGTATTGTAATTGTACTAAATGAATTTGTATTTTTAAATTGGTCTTTAAAATTTGGATTTTCCCTTTTGAATTTTAAGTGATTTTTAATTAAAAAAAACCCATTTAGTAATTCTCCCTTGCTAGACGGGGATGATAACCCAAATGCGCAGTATAAGCACCCCAGCTAGACATCTGTTGCCCGGTACTTATTTTTGGGTAGCAAAATTTTTTTTATTATCCCCCCCGGGGAAATCGGAGGGGGATATTGTTTTGGCGTTGTCCGTCATTCCATCTGTCCGTCCAAATTTCGCTTCCAGACTAGTTCTCTGCAACTACCGGCTGGAATTCAACGAAACTTTATGGGAATCATCAATATCAAGAGGAGATGCGCATATCGTCGGCTTGTTCCGGTCTGACACTTTAACTCAGAGTTATGGCCCTTGATTAGTTATGCAGTATGCATATAGGGTAAAAATCGTTTCCGCGCTACTTCTCTGCAACAACTGGCTGGAATTCAACGAAACTTTCTGGGAACCTTCAATATCAAGAGGGGATGCGCATATCGTCGGCTTGTTCCGGTCCGACACTTGAACTCAGAGTTATGGCCCTTGATTAGTTATGCAGTATGCATATAGAGTAAAAATCGTTTCCGCGCTACTTCTCAGCAACTACTGACTGGAATTCAACGAAACTTTATGGGAACCTTCAATATCAAGAGGGGATGGGCATATCGTCGGCTTGTTCCGGTCCGACACTTGAACTCAGAGTTATGGCCCTTGATTAGTTATGCAGTATGCATATAGAGTAAAAATCGTTTCCGCGCTACTTCTCTGCAACTACTGGCTGGAATTCAACGAAACTTTATGGGAACCTTCAATATCAAGAGGGGATGCGCATATCGTTGGCTTGTTCCGGTCAGACACTTGAACTCAGAGTTATGGCCCATGATAAGTTATGCAGTATACAACCAGAGCAATAATCGTTTCCGTGCTACTTCTCTGTAACTACTGGCTGGAATTCAATGAAACTTTAAGGGATACGAAGAGGAGATGTGCATATAGTCGCCTTGTTCCGGTCAGACAGTTATAACTCAGATTTATGGCCCTTGATTAGTTATGCAGTATGCATACATCTCATTGGCATTTCCAGATATCACTATTTAACACAGAGTTATGGCACTGTTATTGCCCTAAATATTTATCAAGTTCAAAGAATATTACTGTTTATGCCATGATAAATATATAAATAAAGCCTTATGTCTTCAGTTGTTGTGTTAGTAATAACCAGAACTCGGCGGGGGATATAAATTCAACGAATTTGCTTGTTTGATATTGGCTTAATGGGATCTTTTATAACTTCAGAATGGACTGTTCTAAATTCATGGCTGGAAAACCCCAATTTTACAAATTCAGCAGGTTATGGGTTAAAACCCCGGCAGTCAGTGGGATACAAGATGGGTTGGGCTGCTCAGATGTACAGGGTTGGCCTGGCTGTGTACTGGTGTATCGGGCAAAATAAATTCCTTGCTAGATTTTTAGAGTTAATACAATTACCATTTTGAGATGTGTTTATTAAAGGCCGATTAAGACACAAATATGGTACCTTGCTATGTAACATCAAATACTTTATCAGCAGGTTTTTTGTTGTTGTTTTTTTGGTAATGAATTATTGAGGATATACATTTAAAATGTTTAGGTATACACAAGATAAATATGTGTTTGTGCAATTTGAATTAAAGTAATATATATATCCATATACTGTAAATTCACTTAATTCTGTGGTCATGAAATTTTGTATTTTTGTGAAAAAGAGCGCTTTCATGGGTTTTCAAATTCTTGGTTTTTAAATTCTTTGATTGTCGATTTTTGCAATAAAGTAAAATGCAGATAATGTAATTCAAAATAATCTGACAGAAGGCTAAATTTTGTTGGATCTCGAGTTTGTGGAATGTCCTATCTACGAAAATTAATGCCCTCACGAAAAGTAACAATTTTGCAGTATATGTTTCAGCAGAATAGGGAGAGCTATTGCACTCGTCCTTGCGTTGCCATCACACTAAGTTTTAATGTGTAAATTGGTATCTCCAAAAGCACTGAAGAGAATGGGTTGAAACTTTACACACTTGTTATCTGTGATTATCTTACATGTTGGGCACAGGTTACATAACTCTGGGTTACCCCTATACTGTTTTATTTCCCTTTTCTTACTGTGGAGCACTGAGAAAATTTGAGGGCATAGTAGGCCAACAGTGATGGTAACATGCCCATGTTGGTCTATAAACATTTTAGGTTGCAGATTACTTAAAGGCCCATTATGCCTCAGAAATATTTTCATCTTTACTGCTCGAAAGCTCTTTTAATTTTGGTGCACTTATATAGTAGCCAAAAAAGTTACTCATTGGCCAATTACCTGAACCATCTTTTACATCTGTTGCTTTTAATGGTAATAAGTACAGTTATTATTAAGTGAATAAGTATTTTGTATGGAAGTCAAAATACTACTTTGTTTACATTTTGCTACTTTTATGATAAAGTGTTTCACATTTTCACTAGTATAGCATCTAACATTTTTTAAGTCATTTTTAAATAAAACATTATAAAATTCATGTTTACCCTTTCTAAGGAAGTACGAATGTATTTATTTCTGAGGCATAATGTGCCTTTAATGCAATTTTAACCTACTACTTGTAAACTAAATCTGTCATGTTAGTGTATCTAGGTTAGGATAATTTCTCTGCATAACTTAATGACAGTTAAAATAATTCATATGTTAAATGAATATATAAAACTATGTAAATTGTCTGATATTTGCATATCTTTGAGATGTTATGTACATTTACACGTTATTAGTCCCCTACCGGTTTACCGGAGGGGACTTTAGGTTTACCCTCCGTCCGTCTGTCCGTCTGTCCGTCCGTCTGTCCATCTGTCCGTCCGTCCGTCTGTCTGTCAGTCCGTCAGTCCGTCCGTCCACAAAACTGGATCCCGCGATAACTTGAAAAGTACTGAAAATATTTTTATGAAACTTGGTATATGGATAGATGGCAGTATGGAGATTATGCACGTCTTTTTATTTTCTTCCTATGTTGAAAATTCTGGTTGCTATGGCAACAAATGGGCTGAAAATATGGCAAATTTTACACATAAACTGGATCCAGTGATAACGCAAAAAGTACTGGAACTTTTTTTTATGAAACTTGACATATTGGTAGATGGCAGTCTTGAGATTATGCACGTCTTTTTCTTTTCTTCCTATGTTGAAAATTCTGGTTGCTATGGCAACAAATAGGCTGAAAATGTGGCAAATTTTACAAATAAACTGGATCCAGTGATAACGCAAAAAATACTGGAAATATTTTTATGAAACTTGACATATGGGTAGATGACAGTCTTGAGATTATGCACGTCTTTTTCTTTTCTTCCTATGTTGAAAATTCTGGTTGCTATGGCAACAAATAGGCTGAAAATATGGCAAATTTTACACATAAACTGGATCCAGTGATAACGCAAAAAGTACTGGAAATATTTTTATGAAACTTGACATATGGGTAGATTGAGATTATGCAGGTCTTATCTGTTCTTCCTATTTTGAAAAAAAATATCTGTTGCCTTGGCAACAAATAGGCTTAAAACATGGCAAATATAACAATATTTGTGATTAGTCAAAAAGAGCTGAAAATTTTTATGAAATTGCATCTTTAATTCAAGAGTTATCTCCTCTTTAAGAATTTTGCTTTTAAAATGTTATATTTTGGTAACAGGGATGTTTCAAATATTAACTTTAGAGTGTCCTTCAGTCCGTCTGTCTGTCTGTTCATAAAAACTGTTTCCTGTGATCACTTTTAAAGAACTTTTCCAACAAATTTACTTAAAATAGAGAAAAATTGAAACATTAGTGAATGGCCAATGGCCCTTCAGAATGTTGATGGGTTTCGAACCGGTAGGGGACTTATGGATTGCTTGCAATACTATGATAATTGCTTGTTAATGATTTGTTTTGAAATGAAATTGTTGAAAACTTCATTTATTGCTAAGTTCTATAAAGTTACAGCTGCTACTAAAGTTTGTGTATTGTTTTTTTTCCTGTAAGTATTAGGAAAAGGACAGTTTTTTTCTTATTATCTTCTGTAGGTGATTCTTGAAGGAGATTAAAAATTAAGATGTATTTTATATAATAAAAAATATAAAAAAATTAAAAGTTTGACCTTGATTGACCCATTACCTTTACAAGTGCTGCTGAAAAATCACATGTTTTTATTATTATGTCTGCGTTACTTGTAGGGATGGGTGGGGTATTCTTTTTTTTGTTAGCTTTTTTTTTGGAAATGGTTAGTAGAATAATATTTCAGATATTTTTGGGGATGGGTGGGGTTACATATTTTTGTTTTGTTATTCAGGTTTGGAGATTGGTTTAAAGACTTTTTCTGTAAGGGATATAGTGATCTATTGGTAACTGTTGTGTTTTCTATTATACTTAAACGTAGCTTTGATACTATGTACATTGAATGTTGGTTACAGAAAAATAAATGCTATTATGAAATTATCATATGTATTTTCTTCTCATTTTTGTAGGTTATTTAGATCTATTTGACCATTTTATATGCCCGTTACAAACGGGTTGTATTATAGGAACGCCCCTGACGCTGCTCACTATAATGCCCAATATTTCCACGTAAAAATTTTCTTGAGTATTTTTTTCGACATATGAATTGAAAAAAAAATATCATGAAGTCACTACGTTTTTTGAAATTCGATTGACTGATAATTTTATGCCCTTCCTCGACCATGCATCCATTGGGCCATAATTTTGTCTCATCGCGCTCTCGGCAGTGGAAATTAGCCGGAGGCAGAGCTTGACCCGCAGTTTGATGGGATTTTGAAATCATTTCATTGAACCCCGCATGGCTGTGATTTTTTGCAGGTTCTAAGGTGAAAGTCTGGTGAGAGTAGACAAATGCATTGTATTAAGGCATTTACAAAATGATGAATTTTTACCCTTTTCAACAGTGTCGGGTCGTAAACTTTTGCGCTTGTCACGTGACGTTATTCACATTTTTTTACCGTGCTTGTTTTTACTTAACACTATAAAGTATATAAACAAGAGGTATGCCAAAAGACACTTGTGAATTTATATCTTTTAACTCGCTTCATTAATTGTGTTTAATAACTACAGCTTACAGTATATGACTTGTCACCTCCCTCTGTCTACGTTAAATTACGTACCGTCATTAATTTATGCGTAAAAAACGGAACGTTAGTTGAGCGTTTCAACGTAAACAAACCACAACATGTGGAAAATCTAATTTGTCAAAATGACTGAAAAGTCTGCCTGAATACTTGGTACACCCTTTAGCATTCATCATTAAACGCTACACAGAATAGTTGATTTTTTGAGAGAAATGTGGATTTAGAACTTAGCTCTTTTTCTGTCCGTTTACGGACTTCGTTGCGTGAACATCAGAAATACTTATAGTGAAAAATTAAGTGTTGGATTTAAACGAATACGACGGGATTCATTCACAATCGCATATATGTAATTATTCTTTTTTATATATCATAAATAAATGATGAATTAATTAAATTCAATGAAATTGAAATAAAACTTAGATCTAATTAATTCCAGAGTCAGTTCAGATTGTTTAATTTATAAATTATGTACATGTTCTTCGTTTAAATAATACATTTTGTCGCTAGAATTTTGTATAAATGTTAAAGCACCATATTAATTTATTTATTTACTTAGTAGTTATTATTTTGAGAGGGTCGGGTGGTTTTTTTTTCATTTTCATTTTTTTGAAAAGATTTCTGTCATTTATACAGTTATTTTCAACAAATCGTCGTTAAGCGAGAAAATGATTTTTGAGACAGAAGAAAAAAGAAAAGATTATTTTCGATAGTACATGTACATGTATGTGCTTTAGGTAAATATTTCAACATGCTCAGTATGTTATTTCAACTGATGCTGCTGCTGCTGCTGCTGCTGATGATGATGATACAAGCGGTGGTGTTGAATACTTGATTGATTAATTGATTGATTGATTGATTGATTGATTGATTGATTGATTGATTGAATGAATGAATGAATGACAATGATGGTGATGATGATGATGGTTATAATGATGATAATAATAAAAGTAATAATGAATAATTACAATACATATTACATGTATAATGATTATAATTAAAATATAAGATTGTATAATAATAATAATGAAAATAAAAGTGTTAATGATAATGAATAATAATAATAACAAAAAAATAATAATAATGTTAATAATAATAATAATTATTATTATTATTATCGCTTATATCAAAGTAATCTAACTAGATTAACAACTACAAGTAGCACAGGAATAAAGACCATGGCAGTCCTTGAAAAGGCTCGAAAGCACGGTATCTGGGTGCAGAGACATAAAACTTATAAAAACTTATAGTTTTGAGCACGAAATTTGATTGCAACATTTTGTTTTTTTTATAACCTATCTAAGATATTCTATAATAATTGTGTATTTGATTTATATGCAGAGAGTGATTCGAGTTATATGCAAATGTAGGTATTCTCATCGTTATAATTATATAATATTTTTTTAGCCTGGATGGATATATATTGAAAATTTAAGTGTCTACTACCCCCACCACAACCCCAACTCCCAAATCCTTGGTCAAACTTCCAAACTGAAACAGTTCTGCGAAAGGGCATGGTATTGTTCTATTGACTGAACTGTTCCCTTCCGCAGTAAAGGACAATGTATTTATTTTAAGAACTCATACAAATTACCGCATCACATTCAAATGCCCGACATTGAACTAAACACCGCACCAAGAATTTGCGTCATGTGGCTCTTTTACTAGTGAAACTGAAGAATAAAATAACAGTTTAATTCAAACTTCCGTACGTACATGTATATAACATCACTAAGAGCGCGTTCGGGATTTTTTTTTCGGATTTTTTTTTTCATGCAAAAATGAGAAAATTAGATTTATTGTTATTGGTCTACAAAGTAGTTCACACAAAAAGGTTAAACAAAGAGCATTTATTTTGGTGTTATATTTGTGAAATGTCATCAATTAAAGTAGCCCTTGTTGTTTTTATTGAGTGTCTCGCAATTTATTGTACACTACAACTTCAAACAACAGATATGCCTCGTTCATTCTACCCTCAAAACCTTACCTTTTTATCCAATTTCCTTCCTCGTATAACAAAATCCGCCCTCCATGGCGGGATTCAAACCTCCAGTGTTGATGTGATCCGAAGAACGCGACAGTGAACAGTAAGCCACGGATGTCTAATGTAACTTTTTTACGCACCTATACCTTTGTAGAACCAGTCCTGGGCAAACGTCTCAAATGTTTCTGAAGGTCATAATATTCCAAAATGTTGGTCCGTCCGTGCAGTTTTGCAAAACTGTTCACTCTTAGTGTACAGTTGACTCTTAATAACTCAAAATCGAAATCGCCTTTCTCAAAATTCCTCATAAGTCGAAGAATTTATAAAGTCTCGTCAAATTTCCTTCTTTATCTTTGTACTTTAACTCCGCTTAGGTCATTTTTTTTCTTACTGGGACTCGTGTTCAGTCGAAAAGAGTTTTTGGTCCCGTCAATTAAAGCCAAACATATTTTCATTTCAATAGGTCGAAGTGTAAGAACAGCCGACTGATCAAAGGTTCAATTTTAATTGAAATCCCATAAAACGATTGTCTTAATTCAAACAAGGATAAACTACAATGCATATAAAGCAACGTAAGCTCTCTGTAGTTTTAATGAAACTATAAAAAAATGGACAATATAGTCCTAACATTACATGTGTTTGCCTAAAATAGTATTTGGCCAATATAAAAAAAGAAAGATTTATTTTAGAAATTAGGACAACTCAAAACATTTCTGAACAAATTGGGCTTTGAATCAAAAACTTTGTAAAACTTACTTTTTGTATATATCTTATATTTACACCGTCAAAAACACATTAAGGTAACTCGTAAATACATAATTATGTATGTTGTAATACGTCACATAAAAAGATTAACCATTTAAAAGATCAACATTTGTTACTTTTCACATCTATCAATCTTACCGTCAAAAAATTACGAATTACAATTAACGAGTGTTGTTGTATTTTATTTTTTCTTCGCCTTTTTAAAGTGTTAATTAGTTATGTTTAAATGTCGTGTTTTATGATGGGCGTTTTATTGATAAAGGTCTCTTATTTCAGGGTGTTCCTATGTTAGCAGAAATCCGAGAATGGCGGATGTCAATGACAGACTAGAATCTGGCGATGTTGCCATAGCAACCTCATTTCCAAGTCATAATGAAATAGTGATTCATAACCAGGACATCACCATCGAGACTTCTGATCAGGATTCATCGTGCAATAAAGAACTGCGAGAAAAAAGGCGCCGAAAAAGGCCAAGGTCATTCAAAGACGAGCACTCTCAGTACGCCCAGATTGGTATTCATGTTGAAAAGCCTAGCTCTCCAATCTCTGAAAAATCCTCATCTACTAAATCAAAAGCACCGAAATCACCAACTTCCGTTTACACAGTAGGCGGAAGTGACGAAAAGCCTCGACTTGAACTTAAAGCACGTGAGGTGTCCACGAGGCAGTGTACTTTTGAAATAGGTGAAGAATGGGAACAATTTCAAACAATTCGCCCGAATAAATCTATAAGCTGCCCACCAAGTCCAGTGAGTAGTAGAAAGGACGATAAAATACTCAGTGGGCGTGACAACCCCGGATACGCTGCAAGTGAGCCTGGGGCTGAAATCGATCAAGATCTGACTGATTCATCGGATAAAACAAAAGATCCATTTCCGTTTCATTTTTTGTTCAATTCTTCGTCGTCAAATCCACTTAAACAGCATCATATCGTTCCAAATCCATTCAACAAAATCAATCACCGCTTCCACAGCACGCTGCAATGTCCTTGCTTCCTGTTTTTCTTCTTCCTGTGCTGTTTACCGGCAGTTCACTTGATGCAAAAGTCTGACCGCTCATTCAAGAACGGAAACAACCGCAGCGCTAAGAACTTTGGGAAATTTTCAACGTTCTTTTATCTGCTTGGATCCATTATCGGAGTTGCTTTTCTGTCAATTTCAATATATTTTGCAGCAGATTATGTACGTCAATTTGTGAGTGAATCACCAAATTAGGAAATGACGTTTAATGTTAGTCTGATGTAATGTTTTTGGTACATTTTTGTATTTCTAACAATATGAAGTTCGATTTTACCTTAAGAATATGGACACACGACAATGCGACACAAATTTGCATTAATCCCTTAGTAAAGCAACATAAGACAAAGATAAGCAGAGTGTTTGTTGTGGAGAGGAAGTCGTTGTAGGGAGTATCTTATTTACAAAATATACAAATGGGAACTAAATAAATCACATCTTTGATCCCTGGTTTCTTTCGTTCATATTTTTTGAATACCCAACAAAAGTCTCTATTGCTCTACTGCAATATACATAAAAGGTTTTTGTGTGTCATTTACGTAAAATAAATGAGCCACGACAAAACCAACATAATGGGTTTGCGACCAGCATGGATCCAGACCAGCCTGCAGTCTGATCAGGATCCATGCTGTTCGCTATCAGTTTCTCTACTTGTAATAGGATGCGCAGGCTGGCCTGGATCCATGCTGTTCGCAAACGCATTATGTTGGTTTTGTCGTGACGCGGCTCAAATGTTTCAGTTAGAACATTCAATGAACATTCAATGAAGAAGATGTAACCTGAAAAATAGTTTGATCTAAGATTAAGTTGATTTATACTCGGATATATTCAGTGTGTTAACATTGGCATGCATTTAATGTATGCTGTGTGCCAAATCGACTACCTATAAAATAGGGAAAAACGGAATGAGAACTCTCACAAGGACAAAATTAAAAATGTTGCAGACTCGGTTTTATTGAGCTTGTTCATGAACGGTACCGGAAAATGCAAGATACCGTCCACGCTCCCTCGATAAACCTTTTAACCATTCATTTATACAAATATAATTGAAAGCAAGTGTGAAATCTTTGTAATGCAATCATTGTAGGTGAAATACCGATTAACTAGCTTACTTTTCATAGTCATTGAAGATGATACTTTTTAAATTTCTGCGACACGTGTGTTAAATAAAACAACCGACAATTCATCATCTATTTTGATATATGAATGGAAGAAGCTCATTTTTATGGCAGAAGTTCATATTTACTGAACATATAAATTTATATGTGGATAACAACATCCGTTTTCTATGCGGAACAATTAAATTATTACATATTACAGATATTAGAGATGAGTATGGACTAGCATCATATTTAAGCTATCAAATATTAATTATAATTATAAAATGAGCCGCGTCATGACAAAACCAACGTAATGCGTTTGCGACCAGCATGGATCCAAACCAGCCTGCGCATCCGCGCAGTCTGATCAGGATCCATGCCGTTCGCTATCAGTTTCAGAGTTTGTTAGCGAACAGCATGGATCCTGATCAGACTGCGTGGATGCGCAGGCTGGTCTGGATCCATGCTGGTCGCAAACCCATTATGTTGGTTTTGTCATGACGCGGCTCAAATACATGTAAACGCCTGTCAAGTTTTTGTCACATAAATTGCATAACTTTTCAACCTTAAAACATGCAATGTTATTTACTTCTTGTTGTTGCTGCTGTTGTTGTTGTTGCTTTTGGTGGCGTTGTTACTGTTATTGTTTTTCAAGTTAAAGTGTATAGATTTTGCTTTCAAAACTGCTAAAATAAGTAAATTTGTTAAGGCTAGAAACTGTTATAAATAATTTGACAACACTCAAGTTTAACAGTAAACCGTAACAAACGGTTTTTCTTTCTGTCTGGGACACAGTTTTCTTATATATCTAAATTTATCGTCATATTTATATAATTATAACAACTTTTGTGACTCTATTTCTTTCTCATTCATATTAATAAAATGTAAAGAAAGTGATATATATAATTATTCAGAAAAAGTTAAATGGTTTTAACCGTAACATGCTGAATTTGTGTAATGAATTTGCCCAGCTTTTGCATTTGGAAAATGTTTATTTGATTGGGTTTTACGTCGGACTGACACAGTATAGGTCATATGGCGACTTTCCAGCTTTACTGGTGGAGGAAGACCTGGGTGTCTCAACCAAAAAATATTCATGTGTGAATCAAATCACAAACAAAAAAGATGTAAACAAAACACACTAACTTTTCAACTTTAACATAATGTAATTAAACCGCTTAAATCATTCGACATTTCACATTAATTTGTCGTCTGCCGCAGGATGACGTCATATCCGGCAGTTAGATATTTAACATAAAACATAGGAGATGTTTTTCTTATTTCTTTACCGTTTCAGGGTCAGTGTAAACTAACGTTAACCTAGCCCTATTTACGTCATCGTCACGTACGCTTCACACATTAACGTAATATTAACGTAAAAAATAAATAAATTTCTAACGTATAACTTATTATATAGAATAAAGTAGGGTATTAACGGTGCGAATATAATTAATTTCCCAGCTAACAGATTCGTACTTGATATTTTATTCCTTATAGGATTTCTTTAAATTTGTATAAATGTGTATTACAGTTTGGCGATTGCACGTATCGTATTCACATCAGCTCAAAATAGAGAAAAACCGAATCCCTAAAGAACGCCCTAAACATGCTACAGGCTCGGTTTAATTGAGCCTGTTCATTGACGTTACTAGAAAGTGCAAGTTGCCATCTACGCCCCCAAGCACCTGCTTAAGCAGAATTCATTATTCAAACATTAAAATGGTGTTATTTTGAATTACGAAACAGCTGCATATGTGTATATAAAACTAAATGATACCTTAACCCAATCTCCACGCAGTGATCTCCCCTTTATTCTGTACTGATTAAGGAAAGGGAAGTAACTGCTGCGAGGAGTTTGACCTTAACCCTCAACCAACTAAAAGCAAATGCTATCAGGGCAAAGACAAGCCAGTCGTGCAGTCTGATCAGACTTTTTACTGTTATTTACTTACTTTAAATGTGTATCTTGATATTCCCAGAATGATGGTCAGTTCAAAAAAAGGAAACTTGACAAGTTCATTTTAGAAAGGGTCAAGTTCTAGTAACATTTAAAGGTCAATGTTCAGGACTGACAATTTTAATTTCCTTTCTTGGAAGTATTTTCATGAGATTAGAATCAATTGAGACCCTGTGCAACGTTAATACGGAGTCCATCGTAGTTTTGTTATTTCGACTTTTCACCATCGTATTTCCGTGTTTTCGTTGTTTCTAGTTATGCGTGTCTCGCGATGGCCCCAACGGGTCACAGTATGTTAATATAGTATAAATAGAAATAAAAAAAGATCTGTATAAGAATTCTGTCAGAGGGATACTAACAAGTCATAATGAGGTCTTATGAAAGCTATTCAGTACTAAAGACCGTTGCGGACATTTTAACTTTATAAATTCCCGATTTTATCTTCCTCAATTCACAATTTTAACTTTGTGAACTTCACGATTACAACTTCACGAATTCACGATTTCAACTTCATGAATTAAACTTTCATGAACTTCACGATTTCAACTTCACGAAATCAAGTTTTCATCTTCACGAATTCATGATTTCAACTTCATGAATTTACTATTTCAACTTCATTAATTTGTGAAAGCCGTATGTTTGAAACGTGTGTTCACGAAGTTAAAATTGTAAATTCACGAAGATGAAATTCGGCCGTGTCTAATTTTCGCTCCGCGGGCGGCAGGCGAAGACAATGGGATACAAATAAAAAGGGGACATTGTCGAATTTTCACGTTTTCCCCCCCCCTCCTCAAACCGAAAATACGACATGGCGCAAATCAGTCACCATAATATGCGATAGGGGCGTGGATCGTCCAATAAGTGACGATCCGATCCAAACCACGATTTAGCACTTACGATTCACAAATCGAACCACAAATCTTTTGTTATCAAGACACCCATAAAAACATGTTTATTTAAAAAAAAAAAACAATACTAAACATTAAAGATATAAAATATAAACTAGGATTATGTTTTTATTCTTTGGATGAGTATTTTTTTTTTTTTTTTTTTTTTTTTTGAAACCAATTACTTCCTAGCTCAGCATCATGGTACATGGTCTTTAACCGGCAAATTGTATGTAGGTAAACTTCATATAATTTATACTCAAATTGTATTTTTCTAGATTTTATGAGTGTGAAAAACAGTGAATGTATAAAAAAAATTAGATCGCGATCCACGATCTCTGGGCTTACGAATATTCAAACTCGATTTTTCATTTTGATTTGTGATTATCCGAGTACTCGGATACTCGCCCCAGCCCTAATATGCGATATTGAATGACTGCATGTTCAATAGTGCGACGTAAATAAAATAAATAAATGTTTTAAAATGTGTAACCTCAATCAAAAATCATTGCAACAAGTCTCAAACAAGTTTTGAACTTGAATTTAATCAAAGAAAGATAAAAGCGCAAGAAGCAATTGAACAGTCTGTGCCAACAAAAGATTTTAACAAATAATGTTATTGAAGTTACACATGTTTCTGAAATGTTATCTTTTTGATAAGATCTTGCAGCTAATTTACATTTCAGCAGAAAAATACGGTTTTGTTTAATTCGGCGTGTATTTACATTATTTGATTAAAATCTTACAATTTTTAGAAATTCGATAAAAATCTTCATTTATCGCAACGATCTTATTTTGACGGGTTTACGCGTAATTTCTATTAAACGATGACAGTTTAACGGTGTTAACACTAAAATTGCCCGTAAATTTGTCAAGAGTCTTTTTGATCTCGGGCCGGTGTGATATAATTTTATATATAAAATGATATAAGGATTTATAAGCGATACCTGGAAAGGTTTCAATACCTTAGGCGGAAAAAAGTAACATTAATTTGCTAAATTAAAGAGAGAAAAAAATGTTGAAAGGAAAGTCTCACATCTTCAATATTGTCAAAAAAAAGTAATAATTGTTGACAATAGCTAAAGAAATATAAATTAACACTACGTGTTAATTAATGAATGGGGGTAAAATTATCACAAACTTGTCGAATTTCACATATATACATAAAGTCATAATTATCAGAAATAATTATGACACTATTAGACAAAGAATTAATAGAATTTACTTTTTTATTCGTCCCCCGATTTATACAACAACTTTTATTTAGAATTTCTTACAAAGAACATTATCATATATACCAGTTTAAATTAATTTCATAAAATTAAAAAAAATAGTGTAACATTGACTGTTAGGAGTATCAGTTAAGATAGTTATACTCCAAACCTTTTACTATATGTTGTTTGATAGGAAATCATATTATATTTGACTTTTATAAAATATCTTTAATAAAAAACTAATTACACCCTTTTTAGTCACTCATAATTTAAACCTCTTACATTTGAGATTT